GGGGAGAGAAGATGGGATGGGGAGGAAGAAGAAGAAGAAGAAAGAGGGAGGTGAAGAGATGGAAATGAGGAAGAGGAAGAGGAAGAGGATGAGGAGAAAGAAAGAGAGAAAGGAAGAGAGAAGTCAAAGATCCAAGTGAAAGAGTTGATGGTGGTGAACCCATAATGATCACATCAAACCATAGTACGGAGCCTTAGGCTATAAGGCAATACATCAGTATCTACCATTATTACTCTACTCCTACAACAAAGGGCAACTAGAGATCAATTGATACAGACAATGAAAAACATCCAATCTTCACTCTTCTTTCTATATGATGGATGGATGATGATGAAGCTATACTATCAATCCATGCAGGATCCTCCGTAACCCCAGCGGTGTGGGGGAACAACCAAGAGATACCAGAAACAGCAAAAGCACCATCTCCCATGTGGATAGTCCAGAAAAGTCAATACATCCAACCAAATCAATGGACTTTGTTCGTATCAGAATTACCTACCCTGCCTCGGCATTCAACGGTCTGCCTGGACCCTGGGTGCATCACGACAAGGATTGCATCACGAGGGAAGAAGCAGCTATGGTTTGAATCCTGTCTCCGGCACTAAACCAAAGCTACCACACTTTGCAGACCACCGGAGGCTGTATCTTGGTTCTTGGTCTGTCATCGAGCTTGAGCAATGGGGGGTTTTGGTTGGTATTATTGAGAGGTGGAGCTGGAGCCACCCGTGGAAACCGTCCGAATCTGTCGTATTTCCACCAATTAGATTCTCCTTCTTAGGTGAAAGAGTGAGGTCACTGTGGGTAGCTCTGATAGACATCCATTGTCATATCTAGATGTGACTCGAAAGCTGCATTCTAATCGTGGTACAGCAGAAGTGGTGGGACTTGTAGATTGAGGTAGATTCGACAGACATCATTCATTAGAGAGAAGGGAAAAGAATACATTGAAGCGGTGACGGTATTGATACACTAGATATGTCTGCCTTCTGGCACCGGACCAATCACCAGCCTGTAATTTTGGTCTTCCGAGACCCGCAGCAGATCCAGGAAGTGCCAAGAGTGGAGAGGCGGTGGAAGATTCCTCTGTATAGAGGATCATTAAATCATGACTTAGGTAACTGATAGTGATATAGTAGTGGCTGGGAGATGAAATGTAGTAAATATAATTGAACAGACATAAACATTGAGATGTATAATCCTGATAGTTAGTATGTTATGGGAGCACTCGGACTGAGCTTTGGTAAATCCATCGATCCACCGGTGATGTTCATGATGATGCAAAGGAAGCCCCATCTGTCGACTCTGCAACCAAAGAACGACTACCCGAGCGGTGGACTCGGTGGATGGTTGGGACAGAACGGTCCTAGTGTGTATCGGACTCCTGTTCTGTACCGGCAGAATACGCCTGTTAATTACCCCCTAAAGGGTCTTGCAGTTTGCATGTTTGGCCATTCCTGGTTCCTGAATCTCCAGGCTGCTATTGATTACCTTATCAATGACTCAGCCAGACCTGAGACCAGTCTAACTTCCTTTGGAATAGTGCGAGTCTCACTCTTGGCTTCGACGTTGTGCCTGTCGAGCGCAACAGATGCGCATCACATCCAATCCACCAGAGCAACCTGTTGGTCCTTTCCTTTTCTCCAGTCCAATTTCTCTCAAATAGAGATACACTCTTTTTTGCCTGCCATTCTATACAGGAGACATATCCACGAGATCTTTTTACTCCAATCTGCCCTTCAATTCCTGTTCGAGGACCCTGTCGAGAACTTCCCGCGATGCTTGTATGAGCAACCCTAGCGCGACACTGTGACCAATCTGCTAGGATTGACCCTGGAGCCGACAACTCAAGCTTAAGCAAACTTTGATCTATACTCCCGTGTGGCCGTGGGACCGGGCTCCTCTGTCCTTCCTTCCAGAGAGCCGTGCTATATTGATCCTGTTGTTGACTCTGATCTTTCGGCGTGTTTAGAGATATTGGATGATATCTGCCTCTGATCCGATTCTGGTTATCTCATTATCTATTTCTGAGAACAGTGCATGAGGTTTACATTTCTTACTGTTTTCTTCTAGAGAGTTGCTAGGCGACAGGTCGCTATTCATCCACTGAGCTGCATCCAGTCACTCGAAGAGACTCGGTGAATCGCATCAACCCCCATTACCCCAACGTATCAAAGGGCCTGCAATACCTCCAACCGCAATCTCTCTATTCCTCTCTATTCCTCCAACCTCGCACCTCACACACCATGGGTCGTCTCAGCTACCCATCCCAACTGGACAGCCCGTCTAAGCAATTAATCTTCGAACTAGCCAAAGATCTCGAAGAACTCCGCATCCACAACGCTGAACTGAAGAAAGTCAAAACCTACGAACGCCGATCCTTCTACGAGAACCTCGACCGCATAGACAGTGAGATTGAGGCCCAACACAATGCTGCTCTGGACAAGGTCGCCGCGGAACGTGAGCAGGTGCGGCACGAAGCGGAGGAGACGTTGCGCGTCCACCAGCGAGCGGTAGAGGAAGAGCATCGCCGAAAGGAAGAAGAGGCTCGACGGGAGGCGGAACGGAAAGAAAAGGAACGACAGGAGAAGCTCCGGCGCGAGCAGGAGGAAGCAGCCCGGCGAGAGGCGGAACGGAAAGCGGCTGAAGACGCGAAGAAGAAGGCAGAGCAAGAGGCGGAGCAGAAGCGCAAGGCTGCCCAGGAGGAAAAGGAGCGCAGTGAGCGGGAGCGATTGGAGGACGAAAATCGGAAGCGTCAGGCGGCGGCGCAAAAAGCGGAACAAGACGCTGCGCGGGTCCGAGAGGAAACGGCGAAGAAAGCGGCGGCGGAACGACAGAAGCAGGTTGGAGGGGCTCGTTTGACGCCTGAGGAGATCAAGGTGCAGGCTCGTTATGTGGAGTTGCATCAGCACCTCAAGAAGTTCCGACAATACATGAAGGACGAAAGCAAGACCAATCTCGTCGTTAAACAGAACATGGGAGACATGCGCCGGTCGATCAAAAAGTGTGTGGGCCAGCTACGAGAAGGAAAGGGAACCAACAAGGGCCAGGTAAGCCAATGCGCTCCTTTTTCCTAGAGTGTCGATGTTAACAAGCATGTTCTGTGTAGCTTCAAGAAATCCGCGCGACCCTCGAAAAGGCTGCCACCATCTCGGAACCCTCAGTGGATATCCGCCAATTCCTCGCCTTCCCCCCAGACAACATCGCCAATTCAGACGACAACAAGGTCCCAGCGCTGCTGATCTACGCCCTGAACATCTTCTCCAAGTCTCTCATCTCATCCCTCATCACGGAAGCCTCCATCAACCACGGGCACGCAGAGCCAGTCGGTATAGTAGCAGCCCAGATCTTCTCCTCGGACGCCTTCATCTACAAGGGATGCCACATGGTTGACATCCTCTGGGCCAAATACCGCGCGATCTGCCCCGCCCTGTGGGGATTCCACGGCAGCGAGAAAACCGAAGGCGGCCGACGCGCGCTAGGTTGGTGGAGAGACGGGCCCGGCGGTCCCTATATCAGCGAGCAGGCGCACGCAGACCGAATGACCGCGCTGGGCGCAGGGTACTCCGCTCTGACGCTGCGCAATTTTGGAAAAACGCCTCGCAAGAATCCCTTCCCCAACACCATGTTCTGGATGACTATGCATAAGATCCTGTCGATCCCCCCGGCCGAGATCCAGGAGACACATCTCATTCTTCTTTCTGCTATGCTGAAGTCCTCCGCGGAGAGGATCGTTGGCTTTTTTGGACATGTTGGACTCGCGTTGATGAGACAGGCTATTGTTGATCTTCCGAATGCGCTTCCCCGCCAGAGCATGGGAGTCAACCAGCTCAAACTTCTCAAAGATCTGTATAAAAGAGAGAAGAACATTATCATCTGATTGTTATCAAGACACATTATGGTCCATAAACATTTCACAAACATCAGACCACCATTGTCATCCTCTACCGGCTAGTCGAGGTCTCAAGTCACAGATCTCATACCTCCTCAACTCCCGCCAAGGATCCAATCACCATGCAATCCTCGGCAACCCCGGACCATCCATCATCCCCCGACGCAATCCTCCTGCAGTGCTACCTACCACTACCACTTGCACTCGCATGCAAACGTACGTACCCGGGATGAGACGAGACGAGACGGGGAAAGGATTGGCTAGCCAAATACCCACGCCCAGGTATCTTATCCACACCTCGGGCCAATGACTATTACCTGACGACTTGCAAGTCTAAGGGACATGAGAAATGATAATTTATGTTTGAATAGGGTCAATCGATATTGGTCATAACAATTACAGTTGTAAATTTTTTATTATCTATTTGTCAGCTTCTTTCTTTCATCTCTTGCATTCCCGTAGCTTAATATCTTTGCTTTCCACCGCTCCGGGAGCTGGGTCCGGTTTGGTTTGGACCGTTTGTGTAGCCCTCGCTGCCTCTAAGTCTGCAAGATGTCCCCAATGCGGCGTACCTCATGCGATACACTAATGCTTCGTGGACCCTGGGTGTAGACGCCAAAGCTCAATTCACATGTCTGCTGCTATATCTTGAGAACTCGAACTGAGCAACCGTCGTCCCCAAACTACAAGACGAGGATAAGCTGGACGAGAAGCGACTGTTGGATCTAGATGCGACATACGTGATCTGAGCAGAGAGGGGGCTACCTGAAGCAGCCCACCGAGAGCCATGGCAGCCATATGATAACTATCTGTCGGAATTGCGGTTTGCTAGATATGGGAAGGTCGATGATTGTTTGGGAATGAGATAAAATGCCGTGCCGAGTTTCTCAGCCATCGATATCAGTATATTGGTGAATATGAAAGGGTGTGATTCTAGAGACCTGAAGTGTAATATACCGCAGACTTGACTGCGGACGGGCTGTATTAGGCCAAAGAGAAAGCCAGCTTCAGAAAATTCTTGATGCTTGTTGGGTTATACCAAGTCTAACAGTACGATACTCTTTTACCCCTGGATAATGATAGCATATAGTAATATTATAAACAATGAGTAATGGAATATTGCAAAGCACAGTGTACCCTAACACAAAACAGCATACCACAAGACCACCAACTATTTCGATCCTACTACCAACAAATCCACAAATCAATCAAAGTACTGGTGAGCTTCGATAGGAACTTTGCAATCCTTGGGCTCACGATTATCGACATACTCCTTGGTCCACGGACCCGGCTGCTTGCCTCTCCACCACGAGGCATCGCCCTTAGGACCACAGTAATGATGAATAGTGCGGTCGACATCGCCAACACACTGGACCACGCCATGCTTCGAGACATTGATTCCCCGTGCTCCAACACTGCCCAACTTGTTGTCATTGGGCGCATAGATAGTCTCAACCGTCTTCTTGTTTACGATGCCGTTGCAGGGATCGTTTTTGATTACTTCCACCTTGAACGCAGTGACAGCCTGGTAGAAAAGCACGCAAATGTTTCCTCTCTGCTTTGCAACGCCGCCACAGGTGAAAGATTGCGACACGGAGTACGACTGTGACTCGGAGACTTCCAGGGCGACGGACGCCCATTCCGTGTTGACACCACCCGTTATGGACCAGCTGAGACCGTGCTCGTAGGCAGACGCCGTAGCGCCATCCTCTGCGGAGCACGATACTAGCGAGCCGCCCTTTTGGGTAATGACAAAGTTCTGGTGGGGATCTCCGTCCCCTTTGAGTTTGTAGTGAATTGATGCGCGGGTATTACAAGTATCCCACAGCTTGACGCCTCGCTTATCGACATCGACCGGTGGATTTCCGTCAGAGTCGGGAGCGTCCATATAGGCGCCTCCCGCCTCGACAAACTCGCGGGCAGTAACGTTCATTACTCTGGGAACGATCGTGGGGGTTTCATCGTAGTCTTTCTGGTCGAGGGGTAAAGGAGTCGCTGTTCCCATGGCTAGCAGAGCCATGGTAAGGCCAAATTTGAGGATCGATTCGCGCATGTTGCTTGATGTGAAGAGGGACAATCGATAAAGATCAGGTTGGATGATGGATTTGTAACTGTCGCTGCCTTGGAGAAGATGGAAGATGTAGAGACGTGATATGGAGGTGATTGAATGGTGTTTATATAGTTCTTTTTTCCCCATAATATACGATGGACTGCTCTCTGGACTTGATGCATTATTTCCTACAGGCTCAGCCTCCACACCTGTCGAACCTCAACTTGCCCATGATACATCAATATGGCCCCCACACAACACAAAGTGGGATGGACCACACACCTCGAATGGACGACAGAATAGATTGAAGCTATTCCCTCTCCTGGATGTAGGGCTTGGCTATTGTCTACCATAGCCTCCACCACAACCTCCGCGATATAAGCCGCCACTGGACTTATGTTGTGCCTTGCCATTTAGAAAGTCAACCTTGCTTCTCGCTACTGATAAACCAGTCAACTACAAGATGTCTTTTCGCACAAAGTAACCCCCTTAATGAAGGATCCAACATAAAACAGTACGGTGTAGATTCTAACTTGCGTTTTAGGGTTGTTGGAAGGGGCACGGTTGACATTGCACTGCCCCACATGATAAGAATACGAAGTCTCCGAAGAAGATTATCTGCAACGTGCACGAGATAAGATCTAGGTTAAAATTGCAGCTCAGCCTCCAGCTACCTTCTATATGAGCTTCCCGTGGCACCAGTATCACGAACGGATATTCCCCGTGTCCATGGACCCGCCAGGGCCGGAATCATGGAGTGGTATGTTACCTTAGCACATGACGGACGCTGCCACACTGGGGGCCAAAAACCACCCCAGTGCACCGTGCAACTTGCAAGGTTTGGGTGGGATGTCTAGATCAAGCCATGGCTGTGTCATTTGTTGCTTTATTTTCGGATATCACGCAGTGAAAACATCAAGTCAACATGTTATCCATTGCTTCCCGCAGTGGGCCCAGGAACCCATGATGCGTACAGCCCAATAATAGCAACGAAATCAACTGATTTTGAGAGTTGATTGTAAATCAGAGCTCTTGGATAGTACTCTTGTAGCAAAATGAAGAGAGTGATAAGGTAGCGAGTGACTGATCTCTGCTGATACCAGCGCTTCCACTTCTCCATCTACCTACATCAAATGCAGGAACGTCTAGACACCAAAGTCGCCTGGGAGATGGTCTAAACCCCTCTCGCCTAATCTCCAACTTGTACTTTCCGTTCCAGCAAACATTTAACAGGAGAAAAATCGTCTCTAGGCAAGCCGTGACCATTATGCGCCTTCGGTTTTGCTCAAACAGAATCCATGTCGAGGCCCGCATACGCAAGGTTTACTCATCTCAACGACATTGTTATAGAAACTTTGAAGATGGTAAATTAGAGGATTCCTCGTCTTGGGTTTTTGCATTTGCAGCTGGTTTGAAGGGGTCGTGTGGATATGTTATAGTTCTTTTATATCCAAGCGATGTCAAGGATTATAGATATATATATCTCTCTCTATACCAAGAAGAAAAATCCAGGATCTATATCATTGCTATTGTATGATTATCCTACATCAAGTCAAATCGATTAAGATAGGATCTTATACAAGTCAGCGCAGTCAATTATCGCATCTCGTCGAACAGAGCCGTTCGACCTACTAGGCATACTCCATAAACTGGCCAAGGGGAAGAAGTGGGTGGTGCGACGGCCCGTCACGTGCCCATACCCCCCGCCCCACCGCCGCCGCCAAACGCAAGCACAACAACTAAACCAAATGCCCCTCTATCTCCGTCTCGGCTCCATCACTACCTTACTATTGTTCTATTACTCCCTTTCTCCTCATCTCCCCCTTTTACCGTCATTTAATCCACAAGTACCTGTAAGTTCTCACATATTGACTTTATTTTACTTCCTATACAGTAACTCTATCTTTTGTCGCATTGTCGCATTGTCTCGTTTTGTTTTCTTCCCCGTCGAGGCGCAGCATACGGAACAGGGGGAACCAGTAACTAACAGATCATCGCTATTGTTCCAGACCTCTTTTTCTTCCCCCAACACAAACCACAATGTCGGTAAGTGATGATATTACATCTATATATTCCAAGAAAGGATTAAGACATTTAGGACTAACTTTTTTTTTCGTACACAGCTCGCATCTGGGTACGTCAACGGTTGTCGCCTCAACTAGGCCCCCCCCCCCCCCCCCCCCCCCCCGGAACCACCCGGGAACCCCGCGACAACGTACTGACGATTTACAACCCTTAGTGTCGCCGTTGCCGACGAATGCGTCTCCACGTTCAACGAGTTCCGCATGAGCGGTAACAAGCACGGCGAGAAGACCAAGTTCATCATCTTCAAGATCACCGACGACAAGAAGCAGGTTGTCATCGATGAGACCTCGTCGGACCAGGACTACGAGGTGTTCCGTGGCAAGCTAGAATCTGCCCGTGATGCCAAGGGCAACCCTGCCCCCCGTTATGCTGTCTACGACGTCGAGTATGACCTGGGTGGTGGCGAAGGCAAGAGGTATGAGATTCCCAACACCTCTTCTAGTTTCATGCAATGGAGATCCGCTAACTTGTCCGATCACCTGTAGGAGCAAGATCATCTTCATCTCTTGGGTCCCCAGCGAGACCCCCACTCTTGTATGGCCACTTTACCCCCCCATCCCCCCTAACAGCCCTGAGCTTGTGACTGACACCAAACAGTGGTCCATGCTTTACGCCAGCAGCCGGGAGACGGTGAAGAACGCCCTCAACCTGTCCACTTCCATCCACGCCGACGACAAGAGCGATATCGAGTGGAAGACCGTTCTGGCTGAAGCCAGCGGTGGCAAGGCTGGCAAATAAATGACGCCCGCTGGCTGGGTCCGGACTCGGTGATCTTTGTGTGTACGCGCTGGTTCCTGCATGGCATCACTCCCCGCCGGTCCCCAGCTTGAGAGGTTGCCACGGAACAACCGATTCATTCACGTTCTCTGCACACATTTAGTTCAATATGAGATCTTTACGACTTTGACTGCTTTGATAGTGACCGTGTCATCCTTGCTGTTGGCGATCGTGGCACTTTCCGTGAACGAGCGTTAGGGAGGGGGTTGTTTTCCTTTGGTCAGCGTTTGCCTGTACAGAATACTGCCACCTGGTATGGGGTGTGATTTCAGCGGATCGGTGTAGAGTTCAATACACAACTTCACCTCGTTAGAATTCCGTAGTCTTGGACGTTCCCGTCGTTCGGAGGTATAGTGTAGTGGTTGGTCATCGTACGAGTAAATCGGCAATCCACAAGTTCGGTTCATATGGAAATCGTCTCTATAGGACTAGCCTGGGGATTAGAACAGAGCTGGAATGAACCTGGGGAGAGAACATACTGGTAGTTATAAGCATGTGCCATCAAAACGGATGAGGTGAAGACGGACTCTCGGGTGACCAAGGGGACGTGGACCAATCAGCGGGCGGGCAAAACGGACTAAGCCAACCCGCCGGATACTCGACTTTCGACCTCAAACCACCATCGGTCGTTGACTTCGTCTCCCCATCGCGAGCCCCGACCACCTCCTCCACTCGTATTCTAGCCTCATCCAACCCTCCCCAGGAGAATTCTCTCTCTCTCGCTCCCGGAGATTGTATTTTTATCGTTCAATTGATCGCTTTTCGTCAACCGCACAATGTTCGCTCGCTCTGTCGCCCGGGCTGCTCCTCGCAGCTCGGCCCTGCCCTCGGCGGCCACTCGCTCCTACCGCACCATCCCGGGCCCAATGGCTTGCTTGAACGCTCGCCCGCAGCTCGAGAAGAAGTCCATCGCTCCCCAGCAGACCCGCGCCGCCTCCGAGCATGCCATCGCCAACCCGACCCTCGCTGGCATCGAGAAGCGCTGGGAGGGTATGCCCCCCCAGGAGCAGGCCGAGCTGTGGATGCAGCTGAGGGACCGCATGAAGGTCGACTGGCACCAGATGACCCTGCAGGAGAAGAAGGCCGGTAGGTTGATTTTTTTCTCTCTACAATTGCCTCTTTTTCTTCCCTTTTTTCTCTCCCCCTCCATTGAATACTCGCCTGTCCCGACCGAACAGAATTTTGCTGATGGTATCTCTTCTTCCCCCACCTAGCCTACTGGATTGCTTTCGGCGCTCACGGCCCTCGCGCCGGTGCCCCCAAGGGTGAGGGTCTGCGTATCCTGGCCAAGGTGGTCCAGTTGACTGCTGTGTCCTTTGCGATTTTCTACGTCATCCACCTGTTCGCCAAGCCGCAGCCCAAGACCATGTCGAAGGAGTGGCAGGAGGCCAGCAACGAATACGCCTTGGTACGTGATACTGGTCGCCCAGTTGCGACTTCATCCGGTCTCTTGAACTCGGATGTTATTGGACCACTGCTAACGTTACGTGCGAAAACAGAGAGAGAAGATGGACCCGATGACGGGCATCAGCTCCAAGGAGTACCAGGGCAAGGGCTTCGTGCAGAGCCCCCCTCTGGAGAAGTCGTAGATGCGAGGCACCGACCGCCCCGATGACCGCCGAACGTGATGGATAGGCCTTCCGTTGTGCAATTGAAACTACCCCTGTCTATTTCTCCCTTCCACTCACTTTGCTGCCGCCGGATCAATCAAATCTCCCATTGCGGATGGGCACTTCCACCATAGTGTCTCACTCGAATGTTGTCAATTCTAGCCCAAAAGAATCCGTGTATCTCGTACTGTGCAATAATCGATGTATTTCCTTTGTGGTCTATATACATTTCATATTATCTATCTCATTTTATATCTTTTTTTCCCTTGGTAATGCGTGTTGTGGTAGCTTGAGCGGATGTTTCCGGATCCGGAGTGTCAGATCATCTGATCGGTAGAGTGATTTCATCATCGCTGTAGCAGACATCATCTAGGACTAGTACCCGATATATATATACATCTCATATCTGCTATTTAGTAGGCATTGGTTTTACCATTTTGTGTCTGCTGATGGTACATGTCATGTTGGGTTAAGCGGTAAGCTATTAGTAGGAGACTACAGTACACGTCGGTACGAGCATCAACCGGTGTATATATAAATATATATATATATCTAGATCTATATACCTATATATACTTATATACCCCAAGTATACCTAGGTATATATAAAGTATATACACATCTATAGAAGAACTTATATAATGTGAAGGTCTACATATATGAACGTTACCCTAGGTCGGGATGACGAGTCACGGGGACAACCGTCAGAATTTTTCCCCTTCATTTCCCCCTTCGTTGCAGCGTTCGTCCGAAAATGGACAGCCGGCGTTTACGGTTGGATCACCCAGGGAGACGACACAACACAACAGATCAGAATCATTGTATAAAAAAGTTTTAAATATATAGAATTAAATACTAGTTTGAAAAGATTAAATAATTATAAAGAAGTAAAAAAAAGAGATACAATATGAGCCTCAGTCAATCATTGCAGATATCTGAGGTTGGGGCTAATCCGGGTGCCAAGACTCTCCTCATTTGTGTGCGATTTTTCCCCTAAGCCCGGTTTCCGGAGGAGCCAGGAGGTACCTAGTAGTGAGACTTATTCCACAGAACAAATATATCAACAATATAGATATCAAGTAAAGTAGAATCAATAAGATCAAATAAAATAAAGAGACATAGAAAAATAATTAAAAAAAGATATCAAATTCAAAAACATAAAGGGTGAAAGGCAATGCTCGGCACATCACGGGATCGTCGGCAAAACCGCCCCGGACAGGCTAAGGCGGACACAATTCGCCCGTGTGTCCAGCTCACCTCAAACCCAGTCAACCTCTTCCCTTCCAAGTTCCCTTTCCCTTCTCTCTTCCTTCTCCCCCCATCTCCTCACTTTAACCTCATCTTCTCCCCACCCCATTTCGCTCTTCAACACCTGAACCATGTTTAAGAGGTTAGTCTCCTACCCTTCAACACTTTCTTGTAGATTTAATATCAATTCCCCTTCACTTCCCCCTGCTGACCGTCGTTTTTTTCTCCCCTTCACAGCGGTCTCGCCCGGACCTTCGGGAGGGCTGCTTTCGCCCGACCTGCCCCCGTCGCCCGCCGCGCCTTCCAGCCCAAGGCCAATGGCTTCCCTTCTCTGGCCCGCTTTGCCAGCTCTGAGGCTGCGTCCACTGGCAAGATTCATCAGGTCATTGGTGCCGTCGTCGACGGTATGTTGGTCGGATACCCGAGAGAAAAAACCCTGCTTTCCCGGGAACCCCTACGCGAAAATCTTTTCTTCATCGCCAAAACCATCAACCACGATTCGAAATCCATCGAGAATTTGTGACCGCTGACTTTCGACTGCAGTCAAGTTCGACGGCGAGAAGCTTCCCGCCATTCTGAACGCCATTGAGACTCAGAACGGTGGCCAGAAGCTCGTCCTGGAGGTTTCGGTATGTTCTGACATGGAGACCGAAAAAAAAAAAATCATTCGGTCGGATGGTATCAAACAAGATCATAGCTAACGTGAAAACAGCAACATCTGGGTGAGAATGTCGTCCGTACCATTGCCATGGATGGTAAGTGTCCTCGTCCTTTTCCCAGTTTATTGTCCACCAGGGTGTCGCTGTCTTCTCCCTTGACCGCTCCCTCTTACGTGGTCTTTCCCTGGACCGACAAACTAACCCCCCCCTCTCAGGTACTGAGGGTCTGACCCGTGGTGCTGCCGCCCGTGACACTGGCGCTCCCATCACCATCCCCGTCGGTCCTGGCACCCTGGGCCGTATCGTCAACGTCACTGGTGACCCCATTGACGAGCGTGGCCCCATCAAGGCCGCCAAGTACGCCCCCATCCACGCCGAGGCTCCCACTTTCGTCGAGCAGTCCACCTCGGCCGAGATTCTCGTCACTGGTATCAAGGTCGTCGATCTGCTCGCCCCCTACGCCCGTGGTGGTAAGATCGGTCTGTTCGGTGGTGCCGGTGTCGGTAAGACCGTGTTCATCCAGGAGTTGATCGTAAGTTTTGTCCGATCCGGATTGAGAGAGAGGCTTCTCTCGCGATGGTTTTGTGCTAATCGCTAACCCCAATTCAGAACAACATCGCCAAGGCTCACGGTGGTTACTCCGTCTTCTGTGGTGTGGGTGAGCGTACCCGTGAGGGTAACGATCTGTACCACGAAATGCAGGAGACCGGTGTCATCAACCTCGAGGGTGACTCCAAGGTGTCTCTGGCTTTCGGTCAGATGAACGAGCCCCCCGGTGCCCGTGCCCGTGTCGCCCTGACCGGTCTGACCATCGCCGAGTACTTCCGTGACGAGGAGGGTCAGGATGTGCTGCTCTTCATTGACAACATCTTCCGTTTCACCCAGGCCGGTTCTGAGGTGTCTGCCCTGCTGGGTCGTATCCCCTCCGCTGTCGGTTACCAGCCCACCCTGGCCGTCGACATGGGTGGCATGCAGGAGCGTATCACCACCACCAACAAGGGTTCCATTACTTCCGTCCAGGCCGTCTACGTGCCCGCTGATGATCTGACGGATCCCGCCCCCGCCACCACCTTCGCGCATTTGGACGCCACCACTGTGCTGTCCCGTGGTATCTCCGAGTTGGGTATCTACCCGGCCGTCGATCCCCTGGACTCCAAGTCCCGTATGCTGGACCCCCGTATCGTCGGTGACGACCACTACAACACCGCCACCCGCGTCCAGCAGATGCTCCAGGAGTACAAGTCGCTCCAGGATATCATTGCCATTCTGGGTATGGACGAACTGTCCGAGGCCGACAAGCTCCTTGTCGAGCGTGCCCGTAAGCTGCAGCGTTTCCTGAGCCAGCCTTTCACCGTCGCCCAGGTTTTCACTGGTATCGAGGGTCAGCTGGTCGACATGAAGGACACCATCAACTCCTTCAAGGCCATCATCAACGGCGAGGGTGACGACCTTCCCGAGAGTATGTTTTCCTATCTTTCCAATCTTTTGCAATGCTTCCGTGCTAACCGGTTTCCAGACGCCTTCTACATGGTTGGTAACTTCGCCTCTGCCCGCGCCAAGGGTGAGAAGATCGCTGCCGAGCTCGAGGGCCAGTAAATGTAATATTGTTTTAAAGCGCCCTATTTCCTCCTTTTCCTTTTTGTTAGAATATGGAACTTCCTTTCTTCCTCAAGTGTCTCCGTTTTTTTGGTCGGATACGTGTACAGTACTCCAATTAAGAAAGGGAAGTTGAACGAAAGAAAGGCCTTTGAACCATTTCAAACAACAAAAAAGAGCAAGAACGCAGGAACAAGAGCACCTCTCATCCTACATTTTTCCTTTTTATCTTTAAAGAAAGAAAAGAAAATGATTCTGGACGGGGGAACCTGGAAGAGAGTCGTTCTTTCTTCCTTCTGTCTGGGTAGTTTTTTTTTCTTTTTTTGTGTTACACTATGTGCCTCATGTAAGTAAGTCGAAAATGACCACAGTCAGCCTGAATACCCTCTGGGCTGGGACAATTGTATTCATTTCTTTTGTTGGATTTATCTTCTTTTTCCTTTTGCGCTTTTGAGGTGTGTGTGGGTGGAATGGTGGTGGTGTTCTTGCTGTAGTCCGTTGTAGATTCTTCGTAGGTATCTATCCACCTAGCTCCTTCTCCTATTATCTATCTATCTATCTATACTTCGTATATTAAACACTCTTACGCCTACGGCGTGCTTCCGTATGTGTCTTGTCTTCTCATGTCCTGGGCAGGTATAATATTTGTGTGTGTGTGTGTGTGTGTGTGTGTGTGTGTGTAGGGTATAAGGATATATGGTGGTCTAGTCGAACCCAACTAGATAGGTCAGGACTATACAATCCAATGGGCGTGGTTTTTGACCGGCTTGGATGCAACCTATAGCTACCTAGGTAGGTAGGATGATGTACATGGTGAGTGCCTCACGAGCAGCTACGGAACTTGGTGGGTTCTGTGTATGTGTGTGTCTAGTCTAGATGTATGTATTTCCTGTTTGTGGCGGGTTTACTGGGTGATGACTGCTACTGGCACTGGCACTGGCACTGTCTTTTCATGGTGGTTTTATTCTTGTTTACTATGTTGTAGTTTTACTGCTGGCGGATAGAATAGAAGTATGTATATTGATTGGTCTAGATACGGCAATGGAAATAGATATGATTGGAGGACTGAATGTTGACGGTGGTATTCGATATGTAACTACAGGGTTGTTTCTTCCAGTGCCAGGACCTAGGAGATAGAATTGTTAGTGGAACTGTTCCAGGAGTGATCGGGGTCATGGGGAGAGGGGAAACCTACCACAGCCGTCCGCGTCGGGAGATAAACCTGCAAGAAATTGGCACGTCCATTCCACTCCATATCCGTCGTGAAGAACCTTGTCTCCTTGAGATTACGGCCCAGCCCCCCAAACGCCTTGTCGTCGGTGTCGAGGACAATGCGGTAAGTACCGGCGGTCTGGACGCCAACGCGGTAGTCGGTGAAGCTCTCGGTCGGATGGAAGTTGAAGATCCAGAGGAGGCCCGCGCGCTCGAAGACGAGCACCTTGTCAGTCTCGTTCTTGAGGCTGACGTACGCTTGCGACGCGTGCAGCCAGCCGTATTTCTGCTCGGTGAGCTGCATCGCGCGGTCGAATTCGTTGAGGAGCCCGTAGCGAAGCAGGGGGTCCTCGGTTAGGTTGAGCTGCCGCCGCGCGTACCAGAAGGAGTTGTTGTTGCCTTCGCGCGGGAAGTCGAGCCATTCGGGGTGCCCGAATTCGTTGCCTTCGAAGTTGAGGTAGCCTTCGCCGCCGAGGCCGTGCGTTACCAGCCGGATCATCTTGTGGAGGGCCATGCCTCGCTCGATGGTCGGTGTGAATTCTGTTAGGACTGACATGTTGGTGTACATCTCTTTGTCGCAGAGCCACATCATGAGTGTCTTGTCGCCGACCAAGCTGGGGGTTGTTAGCTTTGATTATCTTTTCATTATTTTGTTTTTTGTTTCATTTTGTGCCCTTGGACAGGGGTTATTGGAACGTACGCTTGGTCGTGACTTTCGGCATAAGCGATCGTCTTTTCGCCGTGACGGCGGTTGGTGAGTGTGAAGGCAAGATTGCCGATGTCCCACTCGATGTCTTGCTTCTCCTTGAGGAGCTTGATATACAAGTCAGGAACAGCCATGGCGAGGCGGTAGTCGAAGCCAACTCCTCCCAAGGTGTGCGGTAGGCACAGGGCGGGCATTCCGGACACATCTTCTGCTATGGTGATGCAGTTGGGATAGAGTTCGTGGAGCATGTCGTTGGCGAGGGTCAGATACATCACGCCTTCTTCATCCACCGAAGGACCGAAGTATTCATGGTAACCGCCGGAAAAGCCCCTGGACATTGTGAGTAGGGGTAGAGCAGCAGCGTGGATGGGTAACGTACGTTCCGATACCGTGGTGAGTATAGAGCATACTAGTAACGCCATCGAAGCGGAAACCATCGAACCCATACTCATCCATCCAGAATCGAAGGTTGCTGAGCAGAAAGCGCAAAACCTCATGACTGCCAAAGTTGAATAGTCGGCTATCCCATAGGGAATGCTGCCCTTTCTCGCCTCCGTGGAAATATTGGTGGTCCGTGCCGTCGAACCTGTTAAGCCCATCGAGGACATTCTTTGAAGCGTGGCTGTGGACCACATCAAGGAGAACCACCAGACCCATGCTGTGGGCGGTGTCCACAAGCTCTTTCAGGTCCTCAGGCGTGCCGTAGCGGCTGCTTGCGGCGAAGAAGTTGTTAACCTGATACCCGAAGCTCGCGTAGTAGGCGTGTTCCATGATTGCCATGAGCTGAATCGCATTGTACCCCAGGTACTTGATCCGAGGTAGCATGTTTGCTGTGAACTCCTTGTAGGTCGCAACTTTTGTTTCTGGAGAGGATATCCCGACATGAGCTTCGTAGATACGTAGGCTCTCAGGTTTCTTTGGGCGCGAGTGCCTAAATTGGTATCGCTCTGCCGGGGGAGGGTTCCAGAAGACAGGGTCATAGACGGGGGACACATCCAGGTCTTGAGTGACGCGTTTGATCCACGCGGGAACCCGGTAGATTCGTTCGCCGCTGGGGAGGACCATGGTTATCTGGAAGAAGTGTCAATCCTACAGGATGTGATCTCTGGAGAACCCTCACGGATATACCTTGACTTTGCTATCATGTGGAATAGCTGGGGCCCCGTCCTTGGCCGGCACCGTTACCTCCCAGACTCCAAAGTTGTCTTTCGTCATCGGGTTGGCCGTGGCATCCCAATTGTCTACCAGCTTCAGTATTACTTCACTAGGAAATATCCGCACGGATCAACGTACTGAAATCGCCGACTAGCTGGGCCTCTGTAGCATTGGGTGCCCATTCTCTGTAAATGATGTCGCCATTGTCGCTGACATTGAAACCGAAGCGCTCGTAGCCCTATAGTTGGTTTCGTCGGTCAGTCGCAAGACATGGACTGTCGTAGAGAAACACCGTAGCAACTGATAATTCAATTGCCAACAGAATAACTTACTCGACTGAATTTTTCCAAGCCACCTTCTGACTCGTTGATCGTCTTAACCCAGCTCTCCACGAAGCTAAATCGACGGCGGAGAGCGTCCTGGAATGGCTCCAGCCACGGGTCCAGTTTCAGTACGCCTAGAGAAATTCATTAGCAAAAGAGTTCCCCAGAAACTGAACCCATGAGTCGTTCGTTCCACTAACCTGTACCGTCGGTCGGTGTTGATGTAGAGACATCTCCAGCTTGAGTCGCCATGGGAAGCTCCAACAATGGTTAAGATCAGCACGAAATGACAATCAAGCAATGGAATACTACTGTCAATGATTGATAGTTCGGAAAGCAGAATAAAACAGAAACAGAGGTAAAATTATAAATCCCCAGCAACAAGTATCAAGTAGAAAAGAAAGAGGAAAAGTCTGGATAGAGAGTAGCAATCAGTCTTCGCATCTGGCCATGCGGGGAGGTCGAGGCCCAAGCTCCCGTGACATCAGTCAGCCCCTCAACGCTTTTTTTCTCCTTGTCGCGCTCACCAATCTCCTTCTTTGCCTCTTCCTCCTTCCAAGGTTTTCTTCCTTGTTTTTTCCCCTGTTAACCCCTGTTGGTCCTAGTCTGGATTCCACTTAGTTCATTCGCAGTGAGCTGCCGGTGATCATCGTCCGATAAGGGTGTTATCTGCAAGTGATCGTTATCCATTCGACGCTCTAATAATCCACCTGCATGGTTCTAAACGTCCTAGCCTGAGACAAACAGGATGCAGTCTGATTTATAAATATTATCTGCACGAAGGATTGACAATAGAATCAAGTGGCCAGAGTCATTACACGGAAGACCTGCATCGCGCGTACCTGCATGTCAGACTCTGACTGGTTATTTCGATCGAATTGTTCCATCCTTTCCCACTGCATCAAACGACATAGTTATCGCCATGATTTGAACAAGAACTGCTAGACGCATAAACCGTTCTGCCAATTTCGGGTACTTGCTGGGTGTCATTAGCTGCAATGTCATGGGACGCTGCTCTGAGAGACCAAACAGGCTCCGATGAATATAGTGCGGACAGGCTGATGGTGTCTCGTCATGTCAACCAGCAACTGAATTGGAATTGGCAGCGACTGCATATACATCGGAAATGGCAGATGATATTTGCCAGTAAGTTGCCGCGGCCGGGTAAAAAAGACATGGAGATTTCCTTTCAGGTCGGAGTAGAAACTATCGTTCTGGTCGTGGTATAGAGTGCTCTCTCTGCTCGAGAAATGCTAATACAAAGGTGGTGTGTGTTGTTGTGGCCTTAAAACGAAGCAAGTACACCAATACTATTATATCTTCCGGGGCTTTGTCGGCAAATATGTTTGAAGAAAGACTGCTACAACCGTTATTCTTGATCACCATCGTTCGGCCAGGATCTCAGATGATCAGATTCGAAAAATGATACGAAGGATAATTGTCTCAGCGTGAAGAAACACATGGCCCTCTAGGATTTCGGCCACAGTAGATGTTTGTCCCGAATATTCTTGTATGGTCGCCGAGGACTTCTTATCGGCAAGGGTTTCCCTTGACCGTTATGAGGCCTGTATCGATATGCTAGATATGAGCGCCAAGGGTAGCTAGACTGCCTATACTCGTTTGGCGAGCTAGGGATTGTTGCTTCAGTTGTCGACACCATTCAGACCATGATTGCCGAAGACTCAGACCTAAGGGAAGAAGCCCGTTGAGACTACCTAGTCGGCGTGGTCTCTGCTTTCAATGCTCACCTCGACAAGCTAAATATAGTTGCAAAGCTTCGCTGGCCCAAATAAGTGATGGAGCGCACTAGAGCAGCGACGGCAGAGACTGTTATGGGTTTCTCGCTCCACCGGACGACATCCATTCGTCATCACGGACTTTGGTGTGATTATCGCGAAACAGGAAGATCGGTACGTATAGTTCACCAATAAGGATTTCGATATTATTGTTTTCTTTAGAATTTCAAGGCTTGTTCAAGCTTCTATTATTGTCACCGTCGGTTTTTCTCGGGATGTGTCCAGTACACACCTGCTCAATGGATTCTTGGGCGAGTGGATCTGCGGATCCGCAACTTGAAACGGCCGTCCCTATTTGGATCGCTGGCTACCTCCCATGTTCCCACCTCCAGCCCACCACACGTCAGAGTGGATAAAGATATGCTCACGCACTCCTGGCCCCCTTGTTTCTTACCAAGCCAAGGAACACAGACTCTGCGCGTCAAGTGGGATCCCATTGATCCCCCACCAATCGTATACAATGGAATCTACTTGTTTGGGCGTTCTGGTAAGTCCGGGGTTGTTCTTCACCCCATGCCCTTCCAGAGTAAATGTGATTAACAAGCACGCTCATTATGTCTATTGAATCGTAGATTTATAGTGATTAAACATATATCTTTAGGAACTCCCAGAATATGCAATAGGACGTCGGTCCAGGCTCGAAAGGAAAGCAAAAGAAACCCGGATAGCGGATAATGTACATTTAGTTTTCGTGCTGTTCACTGTTGACATGGCCAGACACAGTGGCTTTCCAAGCAGCGAAGTGGGGATTCACGGTTCCCGGGGTAGATCAAGGGACACACTGGGCAGATTAGCATCGATCCAGACACCAGCCAAAGCAGGCAAACTCACAAATTTACAGGTTCTCGCCGACGGTGCCGACAACGTGGCCAAGGGGATGGCCGAGGGCAGGCAGGCCAAGACCAGTAAGGAGGCCAACAACGCTGGGCTCGAGGTGGATCAAAAGGTGAGAGCCGTCCTCACCGACAACAGTCAGGAGCTGCTCAACGGGCCAGGCAAGGTCCTTGAGGAGATCGCCAACGCCACCGGCAGTCTTGACGATCTTGCCAACAGCGCTACCAACACCGGGGAGACCGAGACCGGAGATCAGCTCAGCGACCTCAGGGCTGAGCTTGACGAGAAGCTGCTTGGAGTCTTCACCGGTGACCTGGAGGATATCCTTGGCGACGGGGGCAGCATCCTCGAGGAGGCCATCCTTGTCGGAACGCTTCAGGTTCTCACCGAGGGTACCCACAACTTCACCCAGGGCGTTGCCCAGGACGGGAAGGCCCAGGCCGGAGATGAGACCGGTGACTTCGGGGTCGAGCTGGATCAGGACGGCGCCGAGATCCTTGTCGACAACGGTGATCAGGCCGTCGACGGCTTCGCCGATGTCCTGGAGGAGATCGCCGATGGCACCGGCGGTCTTGATGATCTTGCCGGCGGGGACGCCGACGCCGGGAAGACCCAGGCCGGAGAGCAGTTGGCTGACCTCAGGGCTGAGCTTGATAAGCAGCTTCTTGGTGTCTTGGCCGGTAACGGTCAGGACCTTGTTGGCACCGTGACCAATATCCTGGAGCAGGTGGCCGTCGTCGGCGGCACCGCTGGGAGAGACAACGGAGCTAGGGGAGACGACGGCGCTGGGGGAGATGACGATGTTGGAGGTGGCAGCGGGGATGGCAGAGACCGAGACGGAAGTGACCGTGTCGAAGGTCTTGGTGACGGCGGTCAGAGCACCGGTAGGGGCGGCGACGGCCGAGCCAGCCAGGGCGGCGAAAGCGACGAAAGAAGACTTCATATTGGTTGTATGGAAAGAGGTTTTTGTTTTGAATGAATGGACGGATTCGCGAAGAATCGAATGAATGACCCGAGTTGGACTGGGGAGAGCAAAAGACTTGAGCGAAAGAATGAACGTTTGGACTGCTGGAGAAAAGAAAGAAAGAAGTCAACAGGGCATTGGGATGTCGAGTCTTAAATATGGTACGGGGATGACCCTTTTCCTACTTTTTAGTTTTGATCGTCCTCTTCCGGAAGCCTTGATCATTGCATACTAACGTGCTAGTTGGGCTGGCGGGTCGTTTCTGTCTAGACCTGGCATTCTTGCCCGAGAGAGCAATCTTACAAGGTGGATGGGGTCAGAATGGTCTATCTTGTGGATACTCGATGGAGTCTATACTAGCAGGGCATTTTCCGCCGGTACTCGGGTATTGTCCCTCCCTCTAAGTTTTGATGGAGGATACTCTTAGGAAGTCATGGTAAAGGACCAGCCACGGAAGCTCTCTAGTTCACGCGTGTCAAGGTCTTGTTTGATTGAGGCTACTGACGAAAGTTTACAACACTCTGAACGATGCAAACCAATGCCCTCCGCTAAGGTGATATACACTGATCAATCGAGAAGCAGCTAGTTGATCAGCAACGGCATTGGTGAAACAATCGGATGGTCAGGATTGCTCATCGGAAAGAAGCCGGATCCGCTAGTGGACGCAGCAAAAGGCTGTACTTGATCGTGATCCCCTATCGCCATTGGGATCTGCGCTTAATCTTACCAGGAGTCTAATGACGCCAGTAAGGCTTCGAGCCCATGACGACATAGTCCACCTTCACAAAGGATGTTCCGCAGTATGTTAGTGCAGAACACGAGAGAACTATTGATAGGTATTGGACTACCTCGTCCGATCTGAATGCGCCCTAACAATGGGACGGAGACATCTACGTGCAGGCTTTTCCATCCCGACTGGCTCTATAGGGCTCTCTTAGTCCTTGATTTAGAGTTTCCAAGAGTGACCCGCGTTTAATATTATTCCCTCTAGTGGGACTTGACTGCCACTAACGTGGCCGTTAACAAAATATGGGGCACTTCACATGCCCAGCGTTGGTAATTGATCTCGTACTTTTTGCCAGTCAAGGCAGGAAGTATCTCCAGGTCAATGATAAGATGTACCAAGATCATGTTTGCCGCTGACCAGCCATTCTCTCTCTCATCGGCCCTCTCTCACTGGCCAAAGATAGAGATGCTGTTCGTTGCGGACCAACGGATGCGCGGTAGAGCCGTGCGGGCCCCGGTATCTGACCCATAAACCAAGAATTTCTTGGATGCCAACGAGCCAGGGATGGGACTATGAACGGCACTCACGGGAGCATTGTTCCAGCGTTATCAACAGTTTGGTAAGGCTTCTAGTGTAATTCGTCCCCTGTCTATCCAGATTCGTCCCCCATGAGGGCCCACACGGCTCCTCTGTACATGAACAGCGTTGGAGGATGTGGGACGTCATGCCACCCCGTTCCATTCAATTTAGAGTGGCATCATAGCATGATCAAAGGGAGTGTCGCCAAGCTCTGGAAAGAGTGTCTATTTTCTTTTTCAAACACAATTGCCACCGACGTCAATCATGGAATGGGAAGGAGATAGGTAAGAGTAGTGCAGAAGATCAGTGAGGCCCACATGGGTACTCCCAGAGAACCACAGGTGGCTTCGTACGATCATCAAGCTTATTGATTCGGTGGAGATTTGTCGATCCTCATCATTCTGGTCCTCCAGGTTTGCGCTAGTTGCGGCACACACCCTACCAATCCAAGTTTCCAGTCCATATCCATACGCCCTTACCGCACGGAGACATGGATGGGATCGGCACTGAATGGAGAACTGGGCCAACCGAAATGCTGTTGACTGTTTTCCGCCAACAATCTTTGATGTCCGTCGTACAAGTGCTCGATCATAAATCATAAAACCAGTATAATCGGGATTCCTCCTGACTTTTGCGTTTACCTCGGGCGGCTTCCCGACAAATCTAGTCGGCCTAATCCCGATTGACTGAGACGAGATGGGCCGTTCTTTCATGTGCCATTGTCACGTTGGACTTTGAGACTTGACACCAGATAGAAACTACTGATCGGTCTGGGCAACGGCGGAGATACCGCGAGCTGTACTCCACCGACTTTCTGTTCCCCTTTTCCCCGCCAGCGAGGGGTGCCTGTGCTGCACGACTCCTGAGTTCTGACTTGAATACATCAGACTACTGGGAAATCAGGGCCCATCGCGGTGGATTCTATCCCCCTTCTGAGGTCATCGCCAACATTTTTGACTGGGACCAGCCGCCGACCCCCTGCCCACCTGGAAGCGGACAAGGCGACAGTATCCGCCAATTCTTGCGCAAATCGCAGCAAACACAGCCCCATAGAATTGTGCGATGCGGCGAGGCCGAGACGGGCTCGAATCTCTACCATAGATGTCTGGACTATTACGTTGGTGATGGGTCCATTCTCCTTTGCTCCAGTGCCGGGCCAGCCGCCCAGGTGGTATATCCCGTCGGGCCGCATCTTGTTTCCATCGATTGAAACATTTCTCCTTGAGAATGGAGCATTTCACTGCGTCAATGGCAGATCCCACTCGGCACTGGGTGCAGATCAAAAGTACGAGCCACAGTTATCGGCGAAGAAATAAGAAAAGGGGAAGAACCTTCCACCAGAGAGTTAGTTCCAATGGTGTTCTGGATTTATTGACCTTCTTATCCCTGTTCTAGAATATTGAATTCTTCTTCTCGGAGTTTTGATGTTCTATACTCCCTAATGACGCATGGTTGATAGGGGCTGTTCTGACCCCTTGATGACTCGTTATTGAGCAGGAACCTTGGCAAACAGTGGTGACTACTTTGGCAGATGATGAAGGATGAGTATCATGGCCAATTCTACGAAAATACACGAAGAAGTGTGTCACTGAGCCGACGTGAGATGGCGAATGGTGAAATCGCCATGATCCTACCAAGGTGCTATCACTATTCCGGCGATGAGCGAAGCAATGGTAGCACTGTTACAGTCATGTCATAGTTGTTAATTTTCGACAGGCCTGAAAGCTGCCAGACATATACAAGGCAACTCTTGGTTTCTGCTTGAACGATGATTGCGAGACCAGACCCATGTGGCTATGAACTTACCCACTCGCCATGCGCACCAAATACTCAGCGAGTACAGAGACCCAATCAGAAACCAGGACCAGTACCAGCAGCTTGCATGTCCTCACATCAGACCATCATAAGAATGCTACGTGATTCATTAGTAGGCCTCTATACTATGTTCCCCTGTCGGGTCATCGCCTGATGAGCGTACAGTGGATGTTAGCAAGCCCGAAACCATCTATCCCAATCTGATTTTGCAGCCAATGACCATAGAAGAAGACCGAAATAATATTCACGTTGCTATGCACAAGTAGTCAGGTGAGACCTTTACGGTTATCCTATACTCTTTCTACAAAGCACGGAATACCATTTGAGTTGAACTACTTTACCTGATCCTCTAAACAAGTCCCATCTAAGGATACACATCGTAGCTCTATGCAACGAGGATGATAGGGACCTACTTTGTTGGACTCACGAATTAGCTAGGAGCAATCAGTATTTGTATGCTACAAGAAGTTGTAGAGAGCCTGATATTCGAGGCACCGACCGTGAATACGCCTAAATAGGAAATGTTGTTAGCTTTTCGCGCCAACTGGTGAATTGTTCTACTTATGACCTGCTGACTCAGCCACCACTACTTTCCTCATTATCGCCCACCTTGGTCTCCACCAACTTTTCTATAGTGAAGACAACTGAACGTATCTTTCCAAGGCTTCAATCACCCCTGCTGTCTCTTGTCCTAGGGCTGTACTATCTGATCCTTCTCACTTGCCTGACGCGCGACAACAGCCAACATGGCCACCCCTCAATTTCCCTATTCAATGTGAGCCACTGAAATTACCCCACCTCCAAACAGAAGAGCACGTCTCAAAACCACCACCAACGGCACTGACACTCGTTAGGAAAATCTCCCTTCCTCTTCCCACGAACCGTCTCGCCTCCGCCGCGCTGCGCAGCCTTGAAGTCGACGCCGAGCTGTCTCAGTTCGTCCAGCGGAACCTGGAACTGGTGCATCCCGCGAAAGAAGAAGCCCACACAGAGGACGAGTCGGACAAGACGGTCCTGGATATCACGTACCGGGCTACTACAAACCGGATGTTACGCGTGGCGGTGAACGGGTTCATGGAGAGCGTGGGGGTCGTTCTGGGGGTGATGGAAGAGCTGGATGTGGACGTTTTGGAACATGGGGAGGAATGAGTAATGAGTGTTGAATGGTAACGAGATTATGATCCTCTCCCGTCTCATTTCCGCCTCGAGGACCAGCTGTTCGTTACCTCTGTGTGGGACACAGCGACGACGCATGCTCCCAGGCGTTCTGTTATGCTATCCGGGTAAATGGCCCCAGATACCGAGCCAGCGGCGGGTGGGAGATCGCGCGCGGGCTGCGCCGTGATTCTACGGGAGAGATGGATGGGTCTACTGGCTTCTCAGACAGGGGGTGGGTTGCGATGTCGATTGGATGAGGCTGTCGTGCCGATTACTTTGGACGGCGGCATACGGCATAACTGTCTCCATGTGAGAGTGTGGACTGCAACGGAATGACGCGCCAGGCTGGGTTTGGACAGAATGTTTTCAAGAAACAGAGCATCGTCTTGTCTTTCGGAAAGACCATGAGATCCCACCTCTACGAGTCCGGACCTGGGAACCTCCGCGCACGTGCCAGATGTCAATGTGAGCTTGAGAAGAGCGTGGTTCAATACTGCAGATTTATTGTGGTATAGCGACGTGGTATGCAACAATGGATATCCTAGTCGTTGTAGAATACATTGCAGCATTGAGGCATTCTTGTACATCTGTATTCAAATGACTAGACGTCAGGATCGTAACGTGTTGTATCTGATAGAGCTCAGCTTCACTGCTTGAACAGTTGAATCTAGAGGCGGTGGCAGAATCCTAGGCAATCCCGGCAGGAAGACGGCTGAGTCAGCGGGAACAAATCGGATCGAAAGCAGGCGGTTTGGAAAAGCGGGTCATGTGATTGGCCGGCGGGAGGGCGAACAATTTGACTCCCGAACTTCAACCTCGCATCTCCAGCGTTGACCGTGTCCGCCTCTCTCTGTCACCCCATTCCTCCTCCACCTCCCCCTTTCTTCTCACCCATTAAGTCTATTTGCATAATGGCTTCCCGGCGCCTAGCGTTCAACCTTAACCAGGCTCTGCGGAGTCGCGCCGCCCTCAAGGCCATCCAGCCTGTGAAGCGTGGCTTTGCTTCGCCGGTTACCCTGCCTTCCACCACTCAGTCGACGACTCTGTCCAATGGATTCACGGTACGACCCAATGACCGCCAATTGATCCTGTCTATCAGTTCGCCGGCTTACTGACGGCTTTTAGATCGCGACCGAGCACTCCCCGTGGGCTCAGACTTCCACTGTCGGTGTCTGGATCGACGCCGGTAGCAGGGCCGAGACTGACAAGACCAACGGTACCGCGCACTTCCTCGAGCATCTTGCGTTCAAGGTAAACCAGAACATTACGAAAAAAAAAAATCAAACGTGGGGAAGGATATTGACCTCGTTATTAGGGCACCAACAAGCGCAGCCAGCACCAATTGGAGCTTGAGATCGAGAACATGGGCGCTCACCTGAACGCCTACACCTCGGTAGGACCCGGAAACCCGGCTCAAGCCAGACTTGAGGTGGTAGGAACAGAGAACTAACTACTCAACGATAGAGAGAAAACACCGTCTACTACGCCAAGGCCTTCAACAACGATGTCCCCAAGGCCGTCGACATCCTCTCCGACATCCTGCAGAACTCGAAGCTGGAGGCCGGTGCCATCGAGCGCGAGCGTGACGTGATCCTGCGCGAGCAGGAGGAGGTTGACAAGCAGCTGGAGGAAGTCGTCTTCGACCACCTGCACGCCACCGCCTACCAGGGCCAGCCCCTTGGCCGCACCATCCTCGGCCCAAGGAGAACATCCAGACCATCTCCCGCGACAACCTCGAGAACTACATCAAGACCAACTACACCGCCGACCGCATGGTCCTGGTCGGTGCCGGTGGCATCCCCCACGAGCAGCTCGTCCGTCTCGCCGAGGAGCACTTCGGTGCTCTCCCCAACAAGCCGCCCACCTCTGCCGCCGCCGCTCTCACCGCTGAGCAGAAGCGTCTGCCCGAGTTCATCGGCTCCGAGGTCCGCGTCCGTGACGACACCGTCGGCTCGGCCCACCTGGCCCTGGCTGTTGAGGGTGTCAGCTGGAAGGATGACGACTACTTCCTCGCCCTGGTCACCCAGGCCATCGTCGGCAACTGGGACCGTGCCATGGGCAACTCCCCTTACCTGGGCAGCAAGCTCAGCTCCCACGTCGAGCACCACGCTCTGGCCAACAGCTTCATGAGTTTCTCCACCAGCTACAGCGACACCGGGTGAGTTTTCCCCCTACCTTTTGGATCGAATGAATTACTGATCTGTATAGTCTCTGGGGTATCTACCTCGTCTCCGAGAACCTGACCCAGCTCGATGACCTGGTCCACTTCACCCTGCGCGAGTGGTCTCGCCTGTGCTTCAACGTCACCTCCGCCGAGGTGGAGCGCGCCAAGGCCCAGCTCAAGGCCTCGATCCTGCTGTCCCTGGACGGCACCACCGCCGTCGCCGAGGACATCGGTCGCCAGATCATCACGACCGGCCGCCGCTTGACACCGGAGGACATCGAGAAGACGATCGGCCAGATCTCCGAGAAGGACGTGATGGACTTCGCCAGCCGCAAGATCTGGGACCAGGATGTGGCCGTCAGCGCGGTCGGCAGCGTCGAGGGCGTCCTCGACTACAACCGGATCCGCGCGGACATGAGCCGCAACACCCTGTAATCGAGCAATGTGATGTTTTTCTAACCCGTTTTGCGCGCCGCGCGGCCCATGGCGCTTGTTCTTTTTCTTTTCTTTTCTGTTGGAGGGTAATAGACCGCGGAGGTGGAGCCGGTAGCGTGTCTTGTACAGTACCAACTGTCGCTGATATACTAAAACTGTATTGTTCTATTATTCTATTCAGTACCCTGTAGGTTCAATCCGTAGTCTACTTGACGATGAGTTCAGGGAAACAGATCTATCTACCCGACATAAACCATAGATATGAGAACTTACCCAACATAGTCGCCCAATACAGGTGCGTGCGCCTCATCAATCAATCAACAATCAACAACCAACCAAACAACTGTTCACTTACTCAAGTCCACGAAAACGACACCCACGCAAGTAATTATTAAAGTAGGCAAACAATCAACCCACCATCACGCGACCAGTCCACCCAACCGAATGATTGGCCATGCCAGAGGCGCAGCCCAGCCCGTCAGCACAACCACCACCATGGGACCTTATCAGCCCCGCTAGAAATATACGAGGCTGCCGGAGATATAGTCGTTCGATGGATCGGCTCGGTGGGGAAGTTGCACGTGAAGGTTTTGAGACGTTTGTTTGGGTTATGGGGGTATATAATAAGGTGGGCTTTGCTTGGTAGTTGGGACTCTGCTTCTGTTTTTTCGTTTTTACAAACTTCACATCTGTCTGTCTGTCTATCTATCTAGCTGCCTTGGGCTGTATATCCACGAGAGTGTGGTAAAGCTGCACTACGCCCATCACTCAACGCATATCAAGACACATACCCACCTACCCACCATAGATACAATAAACCACCCCCAAACCACTCCAAAACACACACCAAAGTGAAAGAAAACATATAAATAAACTTACAAAATGTGCTTCGGCTCCTCCAAACAACCCTCCCACACCTCCCAACCTCCTAGACCAGTCGCCTACAACCCCAACCCCAACTACCAACAACAACAACAGCAAGGACGGTACTACCACTCCGCACCCAACGCCTACACACAACAAAGTCAAAGTCCACACAACGCATGGCAGAACGACGCAGGCCGCAGGAAGAAGAACCCGAAGGGGAGGAAGTGGGGGACTGTTGGGCATGGCGGAGATGGGGGCTCCGGGTTTGGTTCGGGCGCTGATGGGGGAGGATGTGGAGGTGGAGATGGAGGGGGAGGAGGGGGAGGAGGAGGAGGAGGAGGAGGAGGAGGAGGAGATGGTGGTGGTAGTTAGGGGGCTAGCTTTGGGTTTCTTTTTTTCTGTTTATGTGTTTTGTTTATTGTATAGTCTTATTTGGGATGGTGGGCTTGTGAAGTTTAGGGTTGATGTTATTTGGGTTTAGGGTTTTATATGGTTAATATGTTTAGGGATGTTGATGATGGCTGGGGGATTAAGAAATAGTCTTATTCATTTGAAAGAATATGTCTTTCATGAAGAAACAGGTTTAAATATTAAACCCAAGACTAGTATAGTATGTATTGTATGTAGTATCCACGATTCTACCCAAACCTGATAACCAACCCACAGGTATCCCAAAGTCAAAGCTAATCATAGAACAAAAGAAAGAGGAGGAAATCGATCGATCCGGTGAAGGAAGTTGCACGGTATGGCTTTTCGAGACGTTTCTACTGATTGGATATGTGTAGATGGTAGAGGGGGCGAATATAAAAGGAGGGCTCTTCGGTCAATATATTGTCTACGTGTGTGGTGAAGCTATACTGCGTATTCTGCGGTGACGATAAATTACTTGATATGGTATATATATAGCATTCCTAATTACGGAAGGTGCTTCACTGCTGCTTGACCCGGGCATTTCGGTTGACACTTCCCCCAAGTCTATTACTCAATGTCTCCCCCACCAGGCAATCCAACCCCCCACTGACAAGATCCTGCAGCGCCTGGGAGATTTCCTCCGACAAGCTCTGGGCAACAGCCGGTTTCAAGACACGGGGAGAGGCGATCACCTCGATGTCTAATCCGGTCGAGGTCGGCGTTGAACAGATCCAAACCTCCGATGACGGATAAAGCCGGCCGGGTGATGAGAACGCTTGTGACTTGTTGCCCGCAACGCAGAGGCCAAGGTCTCGCTCGATATTCTGGTGCTGGACGATGAAGCCGAACCCACTGCCAGACTCCCACTGTGTGCACTGTTGCACGATCTGGTCCAGGTCCATCCACTCGTGCCCGAGACTGCGCGTGGACTGGCGCTGCGCGTGGTCTAGATACATTCGTCCTGTCATGGATGGTTGGATCGCCACGCGAAATGGAACGTAGTTCACGCACGGCCCGACGATTCCGTCGATCCCTGCAACGGGCAGGCTTCGGTTGTTCACGGTCTGGCCCAGAACGACATCGGTGGTCCCGGTCCGCCGGGACACGGCCACGGCCGATGCTGCCTTGACCAATGTGGCTGCGGTGATACCAGAAGGGATGGCCTGGACGGAAAGCTCCAGTGCGGAAAGGCCACGAGTCACCGCGTCGGTCTCGATCTTGATACTAGTACTGGGCCATCTGGTCATAGAAGAACCCTGCAGGTAGTTGCTCCAGAAGTCGAGGCTGTCCGAGTTCTGGCTGTGGGGGCGCGCGTCGAGATAGTCTTCGAAGTCGGTCTGTTGTATAGCGGCTTCTGGAAGGTTACAAAGGGATTCCAGATCTTGAAAGAGGGTTGGAATGCACATTCCGTCGTACTGGGCGTGTGAGAGCCTAATCAGTAGGACGTGTTGCGCAGCCGCTACGTTGGTGACCAGGGTAAATCGTGTTGGTGGTACAAAGCCAGTAACCGGGGCATTCTGCTCGGCTTGAGATAGCGTCTTGGTCACTGTCTGCACATCCTCTGGAGTTGTCATTACATGCAGCGGGGTATCAATGCTTTCTAAGATGACGTGAAGAGGCTGCCCGTCCTGAGCTATAAAAAGACTGCGAAGAATACTGTGGGCTTGGGTCAGACGCGCGATTGCCCCTTCCAGACGGTCCTGGTCCAGCCATCCAGCGAAAGAAAAACAGAAATGCGTCCATGGGTATCGTGCAATCAAGAAGGACTGGGACCAAGTCGTAGGGAATACATGTCGGATTTTGGACCCTGTTGGTAGACATTTACTGTCTACTCGACTGGCTTTCAGCTTTTCGCATCCGAGGGATTCTCGGCATCTCGACGATGCTGTGGGTGGTGATGTTGTGTTCTGAAGGCGACTCAACGATTGGAGCGTACTGCCCTCCATCACATCTGCCACAGTCAAAGAGAACCCAGCACGTCTCGCCAATGCGACCATTCTCATGGCAGCGACCGAGTCACCCCCTAGACTCAGGAACCGGTCATCCATTCCGATCTCCGCGCGTGGAATGCCCAGTGTCTTTTGCCAGATGTCCCGGAGTCTCCGCTCGTGGTCCGTGGCAGGAGCTTGCTTCTGGTCGGGACATTTGCAGGAATACGCTTGCAGCTCCCGGTGTGATAGGGCTAATAGAGCGCTTTTGAGGCTCCGACGATCCAGCTTCCCCGTTAACGTACGAGGAAACCGGAAAGCCGAGATGATAACGGACGGCACCATGTAGGTAGGCAAGAGTATCTTGAGCTGGGCCAGAGCCGATTGCGCACTTTGTAGGAAAGTCGCGTCCGCAGGTGCGAGAATGGGCCCTAAACTCCCTTGCCCGTTCGACGCTCCCTGGGCTTGCTTGACGACGGCAATGAGCTGGGTATTGTTCTGGGCCAATGGATACTTGATCACATCGGCCATGACCTCTACTGCGCCAGGAAATACGTTTTTCAGGGTTGTTTCAACCTCGCCTAGTTCGATGCGTTGACCACGCAGTTTAACCTGGGTATCCTTGCGTCCAATATAGCGGAGGGAACCGTCGTGCTGATACTGAACCAAGTCCCCCGTGCGGTAAAGACGCCGGTCGGCGTTGTCGGTGTTTCCGGGCAAACTGACCCTCCAGTCGGGCCAGGACAAAAACGCAGCAGCGTCTGCCTCGGGGCGATTGAGGTACCCTCGTGCGAGGATGGGACCTTCAAGGAGGAGCTCACCCATGGCGCCAATAGCTGCCAACTTGGATGGGTCGGACGGCTGCGTGATCCATCCAACGCCCCCAACTATGCGGCCGATCACACCCGGTTTCCATCCATCGTCGGAGATTGTCGCCACGCCACAGATGGTAGCTTCGGCCGGTCCGTAACCGTTGATTAGCGTGCGCCCCTTTGTCCAGGGATCAGCTACACTCTCAGTGACGTTCTCCCCAGCCAAAACAACAGTGCTTAGCATCGGCACCTGGGAGGGACGGAGGATCTGTATTGATGATGGAGTGAAGAAGGCACAGTTGACGTCAGCCCGGGCAATATATGATGCCATGTCGTTGTTCCTGTCGAAATGTGAGGGGATGCAGACGCAGCCGCCGCCAGCCATCGTGGTGAAAATCTCATAAATACTCATGTCGAATGCAAAGGATGAGTGATGCAGCAAGCGACTCTCACGACCCACATTAATTCCCTCCCGGTGATGCAGGATACTGGTCGCCAGGGTTGAATGCGGCATGATGATCCCTTTTGCTCGCCCTGTACTACCGGATGTAAACAGGATGAAGGCGGTATCATGAGGCGAAATCGGGATATCAGAGGCCCAGTCAGATGGCTGGTCTTCTACCTGCTCTGCGAACTGTAGAGAGATCTCAACTTGGTTGGCACAGAGTCGATCGGTTAGCGGAGCTGTTGAAGAGGATGTGATTAGAAGGCTAGCAGCACTGTCCGCCATGATCTCCTGTATCCTGTGTCGCGGGTGCTGCGGATCCAAGAGAACACACGCGCCGCCGGTACGCAAGACAGCGAGGATTGCTATGACGGACCACTTGCTCTTCTCCATGCAAATGGCCACCGCTGACCCTGGGCCCGCACCACGTGTGTGAAGAAAGTGAGCTAGCTTGGAGGATAACACGTTTAGGCGCTGGTATGAGAGATCCCCATCCCAGGACGAGACCGCCGTCCTGTTTGGTTCCAAAGCGTGCTGGGCCAGGACAAGGTCATGCAGACAACAATTATTCTTAGCCGGGATGGATCCATTCCACTTTTGTAGGACTTGCGAATCCTGCGGACTGATCATTTCAATCTCCTTGACAGGCATGTCGACTTTCCGTGGCGATTGGAAGATCTGTCGGAGGATATGTTCGTACTGAAAGACGATCCGCCCAACCTCAACGGCGCTGAGAATCTTGGGGTCATAGCTTACTTGGATCTCAAGGCTACGACTGGCCTCTCCGACATTGAAGGCAAGAAAGATGCCATATGATGCGAAGGGAAGGTAAGACATACCAGTGGCTGCCGAGCCGGAGAGAAGGGGAAAAGTACTTTGAACCGGGGTTTCTTGAAGTTGGACGAGTAGTTGGCTTTGGAAAGCACAGGCCTTTGCTGCGTCTGGACAGCTTTTGGCAATGCGTTGCAACCCGGCCTGCTCATAGGGAAGCATTGAGACGACTCGATTCTGGATCTGATCCAAAATGCCGTCCACACTGTCCCCTTGCTTGACATGAACTTGGAGGGGGACTGTTGCGATGGTGGGTCCAACCAAACTTTCCACCCCAGAGACAGGGGCAGCACGCCCTGTATTGGTTATGCCAAATACCACTGCTTCTGAGTCGGTATAATGAGCCACCAAAAGGGCCCAGGCCAGCTGAAGATAGGCGGCATATGTATTTCCGCCTTTTGGCTTCTCCAGATCCGTCAACATATGCCGAAACTCCGCGGAAGGACAGGGACGGTAGTCTACCGACGGTAGAGTTGGGAAGGTTGGGGCTTCCAACCCTTCTAGCTGCGACTTCCAGAACTCCTCAGCGCCAGGAAGAGTCTGGACATGATGGACAAAACGACTGAAGGGCTTGGTGGTCGGGGTAGCATTTCCCCGGTATGCTGCCTCGACCTGCTCCTGGAGCAACTCGATCGACCAGCCGTCACAGAGCGCATGGTGGACGACCACGGTCAATTCCTCTTGCTGGGGCTGGTGACGAAAGTAAACTAGCGGACCACCCAGATACTTCCAACCATATCCAGGAGGTCCTGACCCCGGATCCCCCTCCAGCCAATCGATCTTGTCTTGTACGACCACCTGGAAGAAGCCACGGCCTGTCTCAATCATTCGGGTGCGAAGGATGGGATTCATATCCGCCGTCAACTGCCACGCTGCTTTGAGTCGAGTCGTATCTGTATCTTTAGGAACGCGAAATTTAATCTCGCCGACATACTTGCCGGGTGTCCGTACGGAGGCCGCAAGCATGCCTTCCTGCATTGGGGTGCAAGGGTAGATATCTTGTATCCGGGTCGCTTCGAGGTCACATTGCTCCGCTGCTATACTAACAACCTCGGTCCGGGTGTCTGGGTCAATCATGGAGAATGGTAAGTCCCCTGCGATGGAGGACGGGTCAGGAAGCAATTTTCTCATTGCACCCGCCTGCTCCCGCAGCGACGACCGACGAAGTAGACTGCCGATGGCCACATCGAATCCCGCCTGTCTCGCGGCTCCGACCAGTCTAATGGCCGAAATAGAGTCCCCCTCAAAGCTGTAGAGGGTGTCTTCCATCCCGATGCATTCCACGGGGACACCAAAGGTTGCTGCATATAGGTTTCGGATGGCGTATTCCGCCTCATTCAGGGGAGCAGACTTGTGGTCTTCCGAAATGTACGTCTTCAACTCAGCTGGTGACATTTGATCTGCATGTTGACGAAGGAGCCGTCTATCCACCTTGGTGGAAGCCAGTCGTGGAATGTATCTCAGTGGAATGAGCACCGTTGGAACCATATATGCTGGTAACCTCTGCCGCAGGCAGTCCAGCACGGAGCGAGCTCGCGCAACATACGCGGAATTTGGTTTAAGAAGAAGAGAGTCCATGGCTTTTTCCTTCACCTGGCATGCTAGCACGGAGCCTGGCAAGACGAAACCTGCAAGGTTTCCGTTGCGGACTTTCTCTACAATAACGTCGGTGACCTCGTCAAAGATCTCAGAGATATGGTGCTCCACTTCGGCCAGCTCCACGCGCTGTCCACGAACCTTTACCTGTCCGTCTTTGCGGCCGACAATAGTAAGAGAGCCCTTTGCATCCTGGAATGCCAGGTCGCCAGTTCTATACAATCTGTTCTGACTGATACCCCGGGGTAGCAGCTGTAGCCATTTGGGCGGATCGATAAACGCGCGATTCGACGCCTCCGCGTTGTTTAGATAACCACGACCTACTATGGGGCCTTCTATGAGGAGCTCCCCGACAGCCCCGGTAGGCATGAGCCTCTCGCAATCATCTGGATCGACGATCCACGCGACTGCCCCGGTGGGTTGTCCGATGGTGTTTGGTGGGCAGCCCACCTCCAACTGCTGTACGGATGCATTGACCGAGCATTCCGCCGGACCGTAGGCATTGAATAAGGTAATTCCTCTGCTGGTGAATGCGGCCACGTCAGACGCGAGCATCTTTTCGCCGCCCAGTATGAGGGTTTTCACCTGCGGCATCTGGTCCCAGGGGAGCATCCTGGCGAACGAAGGTGTCAGAAGGGCGTGGGTAACACCAAGCTCCCCAGCTCCCTGCGCAAATAGCGCGGGATCTGTGCGTGCAGCCTCTGGCATGACGCACACGCAACCCCCTGACATCAGGGTACTCAGCAACTCCATGATGCTGACATCGAAGGCGTAAGACGCAAATTGCAAAACTCGGGATGTACGGTCCATCCCGAACGCTCGACAATGTGCCTGGGCTCCCGTGCAGTACGAACCATGCTCGATCACCACCCCCTTCGGCCGCCCAGTCGACCCCGATGTAAAGGCCACGTACAGCGCATTGGCGGCATCCACTTGCGGTGATCTGAAGGCATTCTGCTGCGGAAACCAGCTGTGGTCCAGATGCTCGATGGCTATTACATTGGCGAGATGTGAGCACCGGTCGGCATGCGCCTCGGAGGACAATATTATGGTAGGTCGGACCTCCTGACATATAGACTGCAACCGCTGGAAAGGCCATGAGGGATCCAACAGGACAAACGCGGCGCCTGCCTTTATTACACCAAGAATGGCAACCACTGCCCATCTTGATTTGTCCGTACAGATTGGGATGAATTCCTCAGGACCGACCCCGGAATGTGTCAGACGGGATGCGAGCTTTGCCGCCAGACGGTCGAGCTCACCGTATGTAAAAGCCCCATCCCATGACTCAATGGCCGGGGACTCTGGGGATTCGCGACACCACTTTTGGATCTTGTTATGGACACAGAGATCCAGACGCGTAGGAACCCTCTTGTTGACCTCCAACACGCGATCAAGTGCCGTTGGGCTGATCTGCATGAGGTCCCGGATCGCCAAGTCACCACGGCCCAGTGCCTGGGAGACTGTCCAAATAAACTGGTCGAGGAAAGCCTGGCAGTGCGGTGTACCAATGGATGCATCATCGAAGACCATGCTCACAGATAGATTTCGACCACGGTGTTTGCAGTCCAAGAAAATGGGGACGAGTGGATACATGCTGGATCGACGTTGCCCAACGGCGGAAGACACATTCCATGCTGGCGTATCATCTTTGCGGTACAAAAGAATGACCGGGAGTTTTGTCGACGGTCGATTTTCCACGATTGAAGAATCTGAGATCTGCTTCTGGATCGATTTTGATTCCTCGCAAACGGAGAGGTCTTGGTCAAGGGCAATGTCCAACACACGGAGACCGTCACGGTAGTCATTGCTGCGAGATGTCAAGATGTCGAGCACACCCACGGGACCAGACATGCCCTGCTGGTAGTACTGTTGGAGGACTACCCAACTGAGGACCAGAATCGCCTGGCCGTTCCGAGGGTCATTGACAACGTTCCCGGGCCATGCTAGGCTTGACTCCAGCAACTGCCAGCTGCGAGACCCGGAGTGGCAGGCGATGTCCGCACAGAGGCTTTTTTCTATGGTCATGTTTTTATGGAGACAATATTGAAAAACGAACTATTAGATTGATGTTCAGAAGGAAAGGAAAAAAGAAGGGAAAAAAAAGAAAAACAAAAGAAAAAAAAGAGAGACCAGAGGCTTAACCACAAGCAAAGACCATACTCGAAGTCAACAAGCCCGGAGCATTCATTGGAGACGCCGCATAGTGGAAGAGGAAACCCTTGTATGCATAGCCGGAGGCCTAGAGCTAACTATCGCCGTCCCCACCTCCCAGGCAAGGGAGATAGTTTGCTAGCTTGCTAGTGGGTTCTGCAGAATGACATGCATTATTACCTCGATCCCTTGACGGATTCCGATGGAGATATGCGTCGTTGATGGCAATTCATGGCGAGCAGCTGGAAAAAATGAACATGCATGGATCAACTGATCAATAATTAGTCGGTGGCCTCCAGGCAACTGACGCAAGGAAATGCTGAAACCAAGAAAGGGCGACAGCCACCACTCCCTGAGCAGGTATTGGGTTCCGATCAGCCGAGAGGGTTGGTTGTCTGGGCCATCCAGGGGCTGTCTAGACTATTCTAGTGCAGTTGTAAGAACCTCTAATGATTTGCGAGTACCTTCACCGACGCTGAAGATACCGGCCGTTCGACAGACTGGATGGATGGGACAAGGGTGATGATATCTGGATGGCTATCAGCCAACAGACTCTGTAGAACCACGTTCAATCACTACGTCGGTCTACTTGATATATGTAACGTAAATATATATAGTACTGCTAGAAAAGGAAAAAGCTCTCAGAGCTCCATAGAACAAATCAATGAGACTATCAGCTAAGATATGCTTCTAGCAGGACTGAGATGTTCCGCTGTGTCCACTTGGTCCGGCTGACGAGGGCTACATCTTCCCGGCACGAGGCCTGATTCGCGCCTCAATTTCAGTATTTGTCATAAAAAACGCACTCGAAAAGATATTGAAGGGAAGTTCCTGCCCGCCAGGCATGCAAGTGACATCGAAATCGAGGAGGATTTTGGTGAAGACGGTTTGGACGACTCTGCTCGCCATGAAGCGACCTGGACACGTGCTGGTGCCGTATCCGAAGCCTAGAAATTTGTCGGAAGAGGTCGTAACACGTGCAGTACAGCCCCCCGAGGACTCATCGTAAAAGCGGTGACTATCAAATTCATCCGGGTTTGGGTACAAATCCTGATCGCGTGACATCCAGTACCAGGGCAGCGTGAGGATCGACCCTGGGGGAAAGGTGCGGCCAAGGGAAGGGATGTGGACTGGTTTTATCACAAGACGACTCGAGCCGTCTGGTAGGTTTGATGCCTCGTTAGTGTCTCTCTGTAACAGGGACCGGGGAGATTGCGCACATAAAATAGTGCCGTGAAGACGCAGGATTTCACGCATAAAGCTCTCCAACTTGGGGCATTGGTTCATCACGTCGGGAGTAGTGCATTGTCCTGTGGGCAGAGCTGCCTGTAGCTCCTCACGGAGAGGTGCGATGCACTCGGGGTTGACCATGATGCGGTATATCATTCCAGTCACGATCATTGTGATCGGAAGAGCGCTTTCAAAGTGAAGGAACATGATCTTGTCGGCTATCTGGCTGATTTGCTTTTCTTCATCGTAGTACCTAGTCTCACGGCCGATTGTATTTTCAGCCATACACTCCTCGATCACGGCATTTAGTAGCGAACATGACCTGTTTTGAGACTTTTCGGAGCGTAATCGACACACTTGGCGACGAATCTCGGAGATGAGCCTGCTCTTTAGCTCGCTCATGACTGCCCTCATTTTCCGGTTCGTCGGAGCAAACCGTGAGATTAGGGAGTGCAAAGGCCTTGGGAACCTGACGCAAACGGCTGTATGGGACGTAATCAAAGAGTTGTAGGACATATGGAGCTCAAGGAGCTTTTGGTCGGATGCGAATTCTGGTCCCCATATGCACGCAATCATAATTCGCGAGTTGACATAGTATACTCTTTCCCAGACATTGATTACCCTCCATCCTGCGGTTGAGTTGGTCACTTGTCCGGATTTCTCTCATTTGCACTGGCATCCACTGACCTTTTTCACCGGGCCTCACGGAAAACGCGGACGGTATGAGCTGATCGACCTGACTGGCGACTAGGTGGGAGAATGCATCTGAGCCTTGTATTAGCTCCGCTCCTCTCAATCTCCTTTTTACTTTGCATCCCAGGGGCGCACAAATCTCACCCAGATAAGGCTTCTTATTGCATTTGAGGACGGCATTGGTTACCGTCTGGGATGCCATGTCTGAGTGGCGGTGGTGTATATTTTCCTGAAGGGGTCACCAGCCTGACTTTCTCTGCTTCTCGTGGGCTGGGCCTACCTTTTCGGCCATTTTGATGAAGCTGAGATGGTCTTGTGGAAGATAACTCCACTCTCTGGCCGACTGCGGTGGGAGGATTATCCAGTAGAACCGGTTGAGAGGTCTCATAGCCCATGGGAGGCCATTTTTGGTATACTGTCCAATGATTAATTGTGTTTCCAATGGAGACAAGAGATGAATAAGAATCTGACCTGTTGGTACGCGTGGGTAGTCTCTTTGACAAGATCGCACTCGGTTGACCTCCATTGAAGCAAAGAACAAACGTCACTGTTCTCACCGACAATGGGAATATCCCCCAATTGCTTTCGGATGCTCCATCCGTATAGATAGTCGGCGACAACAATTACGAGGCAGACAGTAATCACACTCACAAGCGCAGCCAGCACGAACCCCGTTACAGGCTCCCACTTTGAAGAGAAATCCATGGGGCGGATTGAAAATAATGTAGTTGTTATCGACATTGTTTGATCCATCTGTATTGGGGAGGAAGGGGTAAAAACTCTTTCTTTGCCTGTCAGCTTGTGCCATCATTCCCATGTTTACCTTCTGCCTGGTTGACAAACATGCCGCTAGGTTCCCCTTGCAGTATACATACAGATACGTTCGTCACGCGTGTTCTACTCTCCACGTTCACTGCATGAAAGTGGCTGGGGATTTTACTATGTCGGCGAGACAGCAGGTATGGTCTAGATTCATTCTATTGCCTGTTTAGAGTTCCCCAAGCATTGATCCTCTCGGTCCGTTTTGTTTCTCGGCCTCGTCTACATTGACACAAATGAACCAGAACCCGTCGTATACGACTATAATCAATAGAGCAGAGTGACTGCTGGTAACAAGCTTGAAGCTATCGCGAATCCCCCTTTCCTTATCACGCGGGCCGTACATACTGGTACTTCATCCTGAATTCCATGTGCTGGTGGACAGTAGTCCGCTTATGCTCCCCGACAGGCATCGTAGCAGGCTTCCCTGTGGTCTGAGGCACCAACACACCGTCGCTTCTTGGATTTACAAAATACGGGATCGAGAATCTTTCCGTAGTCGTACTCAAGCCTGGCGGTGGGGAAGGGATCATCACTCGATGTTTGGACGCAGGCAGGTAGCCATTACTCCATACTTCTCCAAAGTCCCCCATGGTAAACCAGATGCGGTCTCGAATCTCGGTCGTGGCCGGAATGAACGTCCCGGGCTGGCTTCGGTCTTCGATCTCCAGTCCCTGGTTCTGATCTTGGATGAGAAATGTGAAGGTCGTAAAGTCAGTGTGCGGGGGACACCAGGTGGTCGCCTGACGATCGATGGTCGACTCGAGGAGTGATGGATAGTGCAGTAGTCGGAATCCGCTCTGGGGGCCGGCGTGAAGAGAGCGGAAGTAGTCGGCCTCGCTGGGTTCTACTTCCAGTCCCAAGAGCAGAGCGTCCAGGACGGCTCGGTGCAGCTGCTCCAACTTCTGGAGGAAATCCGTCATGAATGCCCGGAATCCGGGGAGAGCTTTTTCGTCGACCCAACGATTATGGTGGATAGGTTCCTGGTCGCTTCCAATGTCGTAGTGCTCCTGCCGCCGAATGTCCGGTTAGAAAACTTCAGGAGGAACAACACGATTGATGACCGAACCTTCCAGTCCAGAGCTTTGTCTGTCCTGACGCCCGGATCGTCTGCCATGGCTTCCAGTTCATCCTTGCTGTAGATCCTTTCCCTGCCCACGCCAGTGTATCCGCGATGCGGCACTGTGCCATGCGGATGGTCAACCTTTCTCTTTTCCTCCAGCGGCAGATCAAAGAACTCCTTGGACCGTTGTAGCGCCTCGCGCCAGGTGTCAATGTGGATGTTGTGGCCAACGATCCCGCAGGCTCCTTGCCCGTGGATCGCCTTGACCAGTTCGTCTGCTTTGGCCTTGCGGGAAACGGGGTCATTGCTATGGAGATAGTCAGAGATGTCGATGGTCTGAAGACCGTTATGATCCGAGAGAGAGCCCATCTTGGATATCGGTTGCAAGCAATTGGGAAGAAGGGTCGGGCGCAACGCAAAGTGTAAGCTTGTTTAAGGCAGGGCACACCCCGGGGACAATGAGTTGACTGCCGCGCAAGAATCGGCGATATAAACCCCTTGCTCGGTCTCACATGGTATGCTCTAGATCTATCGTATATACGCCTTGCATTAGAAAAAGAAGGAGGTGCCCTCAGGTACGAAGATTCGCGTAATTAATTTTACTGCGCCACTTCTGGTCTCACATGCCATACAGTAATGCATTGGGCCACCAGCTGACTGTCCTTGACCTAAGTCACTCTCAAAGACGTCTCTCAATAAGCAGGTCAGGTCTACCAGGGTAAAAGCCTTCGACGTGTCTCCTGCCGGACCTCAAGGTATTTGCGCAGCTACTAGTATTATATCTCACCCCCACAACCCCACAACCTGGATCAATCCCTCGACTCTTTGTACCTTTAACAAGCGAGTCTTGCGTTTACATTCTTCACCTCTATCTACTACAAGCGAATGGATGTGACAGCATCGCAAGTTTCAATGCAGCGGTGTCTGTAAGCAGTCTCTTATGTGATTGTAATCCGTCTACCTACCACAATATCTGGTAGAACGGTATCAATCACTAACACAAAGCACCTGATCTTAAGAAGCGTGTAGATTGTGAACTGAGGAGAGATTTATCGACCGCATTATTGGAAAGTATCCGAGGCAGATACAGCAAGTGGCGCGTGTGTTGCCCAGGCGAGATGGCGGTGTGCCATCTCCCCTGGAATTCAGAGAGGCGTCTGGATAGTTCTAGGCCGTCGAGGCTCCCTCAGCTGATCAGTTCAATTCTGGACACATGCGGGCACGAGCGCAGAAATATCTCCAAAACCTTGCGCAACTTTGTTTGAAGTTAAAAATTGCTCTCTGCCTGCAGACTGGCCGAACGAGGGTCAAAAGGAGCAGATGCACTTCGACTGGTCAGATGCTGACTGACTGTGTATTTCCAAGCAATTGACCTGGGGTTTTGGGGTGTCCACGCTATTCTAGGCTCGAGAAGGACTTAGCTTTGCCTGCCTTGTTGCAGCACTACCACCTGGGTGAAAGTGTTACGGGAGATGGGTTGCGGTTGGGATCTTATACCTTTCGATTGACTTGATTTGTTATGGCATGACAACTAGCCTGCACCTAACGAGTGATGACATGGAAACCAAAAGAGAATGTGCTAAACAGATAGCTAACAAACCCTCACGGTCGTGGGAAAATATATGTCCAAGATGAACTGTGGGAATAGGGAATGGGAACGCGTCCTAAGCGATAAAATTGATGATATTCAACTATGGAAAAGCTTGCAGAAGTGGTTGCAAATACAGAAGGTCAAACTGCGTGGGAAAAGGACTCTACAGGTCAGCTGACATGCCCCGATTGCAGTCACTTCCACATATACCAAGTACGCCCCTTTCTGCTAAAAGATCACTGGAGTATAAGTGATATAGGTCATTAATCAGACTGGAAACATCACAGCCAAACCATCAGGCTTGCTCAACCAATGACATTCGTCCAAAGTAATTCGAAAACTTAGTGGTATACACCATATAATGCGCTAAAACGAGATTTTATGCACAGTGCTCAGAGCCTCAGGGGAAGCTTATATCTTGGGAGTGAGTACAAGGTCTCGCTGCAACCAGGATAGTCACATATACGGCCCTTGGGGAACTTTCGACTTGGATTATGGGTATCAAAGTGCCGCTGCAGCGAGTCGGTTCAAGCGCACCTGTCTCTCGAGTAAATGGATCTAACTCTTAAGTAGCTCTGTATCACTGATAGAATCCACATCTCTGTTCTTGAACCCGAGATTTGCTAGAGCTTTTCTCTTAGATATTATATAGAAATATCTAGTTCAAAGGCGATCAGTCTACCCTGATAGTTCATTTAATTTCTCATATTCTAGGAAGATCTCCCATATTGCTGATCATTAGCAGTTAAACGTAGCTTTTCTCTCTTTTTCTCTCTGCTTTGATCTTATTCTATAACCTCCAAAACTCTGCCTACAGAGTGATATAATGAGCAAAATATGATTAACAGTATTATGAAATAATCTTCTTCCAGAGTAGATATATCTGCTTTAATTCTACCAAACCTGGATCACTTTCAATTGTCGTCTTCTGCTAATCACTTAGCTACTGGGGTGCAGATATACCCCGGACCCGGGTCAGGCTTGGATTTGACAATCGGTTTTGTAGAGCAGATCATTGATATTCACAGGTGGCTGTGGCTTCACTCTCATGTAAAGCTCAAAATAATCAGTAGGCATCGTGTATACAAGCTACTTCAGTTAGTTATCATCCTTGTTGGCTAGGCGGGGACTTGCCATGTTTGTATTGCGTCTAAGCTCATAATCAAGAAGACTATCAACTCCTCACACTAAACAATCGGAAAATATCGTGCAACAGAAGTTCAGACTGGTAAGCCATACTATGTGTACTGAGATACTAGCAAAGGAATCTCTCTATCACTCTAAGAGTGATATCTTCTATCTAATAGGGGTAGTCAGGTGGGTTAAGATTCTATGAAAACCCACAAGACTCGTGAGGAAAATCCTGTTCAAATCGCTGTATGGAAATGACATACCTCTTGAAGTTTTACTTCATGACTAAATCGCTCTCTTCATTGATTTTGGAAATTACTATAAACTTTGCTATTAGGTTGCTGGACGAAGGCATTTTAATCAACCCGAGCGGCGTCATTCGCTATGGATCGAGGCATCTTGTGAGACGATTCGGTTCACACTGCCCGAAGATAAGTGGTGAGCATCTTGAGGAGCTCATCATTATTGTTCTTAAACACTCTGTTAGTATATTCGATGTACGCATCGAATACATTGATCTCTGCCCACAGCCTGCACACAGCCAGGACACAGCCATCACACCAAGACAAATTAGACATAGTCAGTTCTGACTTCTTAAGGCAGCGATCAGCCTCGTGGAAAGAACACGCTTATAAGACCAAAGACCACGCACAACCATGGCCATCACCCACAGTTACTCATCATCACATACATGTCTACCCACTATACCTACATACATACCACACCCAAAGATCTCCCAAATCTCCAAAGACAAGAAGAAAAAAAAGAGAAGGAAAATCAACAAATAAACAAATATAGACAATGTGCTTCGGCTCCTCCAAACAAACCCCCTACTCCTCGCAACCTCCCAGACCAGTCGCCTACAACCACAACCCCATCCATTATAACCACAGCAATAATCACCTGCAACAGCGAGGATGGTACTACCAGCCCGGGAATACCGCCTACACACAACCAGGACTACACGACGTGTTGCAGGATGGTGCAGGCCGCAAGAAGAAGAAGCCCAAGAAGTGGAATCAAGTTAGATATGGGAGGAGGGGCGTGGGATTCTCCTTTACAGGGGCTGGTGGTGGTGGATGGAGTGGTGGTGGATGGAGTGGGGATGGGGGAGGAGGAGGAGGAGGAGGAGGAGGATGCGATGGCGGCGGTGGTGGTGGTGGTGGGGGAGGTTGTTAGAGTGTTTGATTTGGGTTTGGGGTTCCTTTCTTTCTTTTTGTGTATTTTATAGTTCTTGTTTGGGTTTTTTAGATTGCGATGCTTAGGTGTTGATGGATTTTGGATTAGGATTCTGTCTGATTGATATGTTTAGCGTTATTGGTGATGGCTGGGATATGAGGGCATGCTATAGACTTACTTAATCTCAGAGTATATAGCTTTCATGAAGAAACGTATTAAACACTGAGCCCAAGACTAGTATAGTAGTATATCCATATCGTATGTCATCTGTCATATGTAACTAGTATGCAGTATCCACAATAACCATATAACCCAAATCAAATAACCAACCAAACAGGTATCGCAAAGAAAAACCTCCGAGAGGCCAGCCATAAAACAGAAGAAAGAAGGAGAAAAAATCACTGCGCATGATAAGCCATCCCAGGAGGAGCCTGATACCCCCCCGGAGCCTGCATACGACCCGACTGATCGTCAACTTCCTTCTCATGCTGCATGAGCGAACAGCAGGGGCAGAAGTAGGCCGACGCGCAGTCGCCGCATCCAGAGCCCTGGATGCCGAAGCGTTCGCGGAGTTCGCCGCGCTTGAACATTAGGGGGACCCAGTGGAAGCCTAGGTAGGCTGTTAGGAGGTAGATGCAGCACTATATATGTGTGTATTGGTTAGTTTTCCATATCGATAGTAGGATTTGAAGTGTATTGGGGTGTGAGAGGGAGGGAGAGGTGGTCGTACGTCGCCATTCATGGATTTGCCATTCTTCAAAGCAGGGTCTCTGAGTCGCGAGGACGTTTTGCCGTGAAGACAGCATGGGCAGCAGAATCCTTCGAAGCCTGGGGTTGGTTGTTGTTAGCTGGGGGTTTCTCTAGAACCCGATAAGAGTACGACTACTCACATGTTCCGCTCGGGGAGCAGCAGTCCCAGAAGCTGTTGGACCATTCGTGGCCGTGATCACCGCCCATTTTGCAGTTGGTTTATGTGATGTGTGGCGAGAGGCTATAAAGGGGTACAATACGTGTATAGAACTGTAGAAACAGGGATGAAAGAGTGAATGAATAAAGAGATAGGAAGGAAGAATTGAGACTGGGGTCTAAGCTATAGTATATAGCTTTTTTTTCTCACTCCAGGGTCCAGGCAGACAAGACGGAGCCTCAGTGGGGGCGGCATGGTTTGAACTAGCGTTGAGCTAGCTGCTAGGCTAGCCTCAGGGCTGGATGCTTTGAATGTCTTATTTTTTCATTGTCTTCTCGTAATGGGCTGAGATGCTTAGTATCAAACCGGGGGCGCAAATAAGGCCGTGGAAACGGAGGGCTGTACCAATTGAATCGTATGTTCACGTTGGTCTCAGGGGCAAAGAAGTCGAGCTGTAGGTCTGACTTCCTCGATGTTTTCTGGTTTACAGGTAGGCATTGAGGAGATTAATTACCGGAATAGCACTACGGTGATGGTGAGAAGAAGTCAATTTTGTGATAAGTTTTCTCGGCTCTAGAATACGAGGTGTCCAATCTTAGAACACGATGAGAGACCGTAGTCAGTCCATGTAATGGATGTCGATCCTTTCGAGAGAAGGCTAGTACTATGGCTAATGCCCTACCAAAATGGCGGTTTAACTCTGGCAGCCTCGTTCAGGGTGGGAGGTTGACCCATCAACATGATCCACGTTCACGAGCTCCCCTCAGGTCTCGTCAATGCGAGCCGTAATCTGCCGATCTGCCGATCTTGGTTGGCTGGCACCTATAAATATTAATGTTCTGGGTTGGCAGGTCTCAGCCGACTTACATGAACCGAGTACTTATTGAATCAGGAGGCCCTAGGGGTCTGTCAGCAGTGAGAAGCTTGGCAAATGCAGCTATGAGGAAGAGAAATGGGCCGTGAAACTTTGCTGTTCTGCTGTGTCACCCACTAGTTATTACTTAGTTCGTGAGCTTTGGTGGGAACGGGGTAGTGGCTCGGGGCTGTGCCCCAAGTGGACTTGACAGTCAATAACTGTAGCTAGGTCGCGGTGTTTGCCTTCGAATGCTTGAACGGCGAAAGGTTAGGTACCAGTAATTTCCATAGGGGATCTGGTTGTAGATCGTGATCTTGACCGGAATTCCCCTGGCAGCGCATCTGTGTTCGAGCTGTTGTGCTTCAAATTGTAGGACGTCGTAGGTGCCGGCGCTTACTACGTAAATCTTTCTTGGAGGATGTTTTATTCTCGCGATACATTCGAGCATTGTCTCCATATTGTTGGATATGGAAAACCACCCGTATAGGAGTAGCCTTTCGAGACCATCCGCCAAATGGCCGACGGGCTGGGTTGGTGCCGGGTGGTCCTTGCAGTTCCCTAGTAGGATATCCGGCTGAATACTTAGCCGCTTGAGCTTGTGGAACTGCCACACTGGGGTGCAAAATGGGGAACATCCTGGCGAAAAGCTTCTGGGCGGGTCACCGAACGTACTACTGGGGCCCATTGAGATGTCCAGTTCTTCAAGGGTGTCCTGAAATCGTGCCAGACGCTTCCAGAGCACGGCGTTAGAGTACGAACGAAGCACCCAAGAAGGCACGCCACTGAAATCTAGGGACAGATGAGTGAGGCCGGGGAGAGAATCGAGGAGGCACCAAAGCTCACTGAGCTGCGAACAATCGCCCAAGTCGATTGCGAGTCTCGTAAGGTGTGGAGGGAGCGTCGCGTTGTATGGCGGGGAGGACCACGTCAAGATATCAGGCACTAATCTGGCTTTGATCAAAGTCAGTTGGCGAAGGCTTGGGAGAAACGTGAAGGGCCGGTTCTCGTCAATCTGGAGGGAATAGCCGCCCCTCGTGAAATTCCCATCTGAGGCGACAAACAGGCGTTCTAGCTGCTGCAAAATCGGACCCTGTGGTCGAGATTTGTTCGAGACCCAACGAGAAGGAACATTGACTGCGTAGGAGAGAAGGATCTCCATAAACGCATCTTCATCTGCAAAGTTCATGTAGAGTGTTCTCAACCTCGGGAGGCACGCGATGATCAACGCAGCGAGTGGGGTGCTAATATTTATGCGGAAAACGCCCACGATATTATCTAGACCTAGCTCGGAAAATCCTGCATGTATGACGGCTCTTCCAACAATTTCGAGGTAATCATCGACTAGATCCCCGACGAAGTTGCGGCTTCTTGGACCGTTATGTTTTAGCATATGCTGGATGTCGACCGTCCGGACTTGATTCGCAAGTCTTGGGGACTCGACTATCGTCCGGAGGAACTTCCATGGACGATTTCTTTCATGGAAGCTGCCGTCATAGATGAAGGTGTGATAGAGTCTTGCACTGGCGGCGAAATAGAAGTTATGGTTCACCAGGCATAGATTGTACCCTGTGCGCCACGGAATCAACTGGTTCCGTTGAGATACAACATACTGGTCTGGGTGGATGTAGGAAAAGATGTGGTCGAGCATCTCGATAGGTAGAGCTGGTGCCGGCATTGTAGCGCTTTGTAAATTACTCTCTGTATGGAAGTCTCGTTGATAAGACAGTCAGTCTATGGTAGCGCCCACTTGATATAGAAGGTTGAAAATATTGGCTGTCTGCTGGTTTAAGAGTTGCCTGTGGCAGAATTTGCGTAAAAGGCCACGTCACCATCAATGTTAGAACGGTTTTATTTGTCTACTGTCACTGTTAATAAGAACGTGACTGTATGAGATGCCTGTAGGTGTTGATGAGATGAAAATGACACAGTGATACATAACTGCGGAGGTTATAAACCTCGCCCGCTTGCTGTTTTGCTCCAAGTTTGAGAGAAGACAAGCGCCATCTGCGCAGAGCCCCGACTCTATATATGGTCAAAGTCTGATGTCGCATAAACTATAGCTCGATGCCTTCGTGTTCGGTGTTAATTCTAAACTGACGACTAGGTAGTGGACAGATGCGAGTATGTCCTCATCGGGTAATCGCCATGGAGGATGCTTTGAAAGTAAAGATAGATCACGTCTCTCCTTCTTAAATATTATTTTGCAGTACGAGATCTATAATCACACGACTACGTACATAATCAACTGATACTTGGTTGATTGTAATGCCCACTATGCCGATATCATACGGAGTTCAAAGTTTCTGGGTAGAGTTCTTTGATGTATACTATAGCCCTAATGCTTCACCTATACACTATATCTCAAGACCGCTACGCCAAAACGTTGACCAACTATTGGTATAGAGCTTAACCTGACAGATATACCCACCACTATATAGTAACATCCATACCCAAATAAGTTATATATTTTATCTGAGAGATGTTACATACTAAACATACTCATATCCCAGAATCATCCTGTTCATGAGCTGCCCCCTTAGCATACTTATCCCACTTATCGCACGTATCCTGGAACTTCTCCATATCCATCAACGCCGGAATCTCCGACTCGCGCTCCACAAACTGGAGCGCCAGACTCTGGCTCGTATGCCATGCAATATGGCAATGCATGAGCCAGGATCTATTAAATGTTTGCTTAGCGAGAGAAAAAAAGAAATAAGCGGGAGGGAAACAAAACTTACCCCGGATTGTCCGTCTCAAATCCGATTACCAAATACCCGGACCCTGCCATGGTAGCTGTGTCGCGCCGGGGCGGGTTCTTGCGGTTGAGCTTAACGGTTGTAGGGTTGTATAGGCCGCGTCCCTGGGCTAGGATGTGAAAGTCGTGGCCGTGGAGGTGGAAGGGATGGAATGCGTCGACGAAGCCGACGTCTTGGATGACCCAGTAGGTCCACTGTGGGGTGTTAGCTTCACTCGTTGCCGATATTATTGAGATGATGCCGGTATTAGGACATGGAATAGCAAAGCGTACCTGGTTCCCCGAGATGTTATACACGTTGGTCTCCTCCGGATATTCGACCGCATGCTGCGCGGCGAGCAGGTCCGTCGGATGGCTCCAGTCAATGGTCAAAGGCTTGGTGTTGATTGCCCAGTGAAAGACCAGATCCTTCTCGTAGAACCACCCGATGCCCAGATCCTCCTGCGTGTCCGCCACGTCGACATCCTTGGCCACGTACGGCACGAGCTTGTCGTAGGGTTCGTCGCCGCACGCGGGCAGGATCGGCCACTTTTCGCTGGTCGGTTCCTCGTCGGGTTCGGCGCCCTCGTAGTGCAGAATGCCGCGGATGTCGTTGCGATCGATGTCCAGCATGTTGCACACCGACTGGTACTCGGTGCGCATCCAGTAGTTTCCAACGTCCTGGTCTGCCTCGAAGATGATGTCGTAGCGCTGGCCCGACGTTATCACCACATTGTCGGTCACGTATGGCACGATTGGGACTAGGTCTGCTGCAATCACGATCAGCTTGTGATTGTCGATGGAGACTCGCATCCACCCGTCCAGGCTGGAGTCGATCAGTCGCATCCGGTACCGCTTGCCCTTGGTGACGGTCGTTTCGCTGCGCTTGCCGGTCCCCAGGCAGGCCGGGTCGTCGCTGTCATCGCAGGGGTAGTTGTTGGTGCTGTTGAAGAGCCCGTTTTCGGCATTGGCATTGGTACGCGCGGGGAACCCGCCGTACATGGTCTTCTGTCTCCAGGTGATGAAGGCGCTTTGGTGGTACCAATCGGAGACAAACACCGGGCCCAGGTCGACGTCGTAGTCGGCGCTGGCTGGGCCGTGGATTACGATCGGCCCGTAGAGACCGTCAGCCATCTGCATGCTGAAGTGCCCATGGTACCACGCGGTGCCGTACTGCTGGGCGCGAAAGCGGTACGTCATGGAGTCGCCGGGGGCGATGGGGCATTGCGTGACGCCAGGAACGCCTAGAAGGGTTAGAACGAAAATCACCAGGGGGAGGGAATTAAGTTCATATACCGTCTGAAGGATTGGAGTTCTGTTGGCGAATTCCGTGCCAATGGACCGTGGTCCTATCTTGTCAGTGTGCGATTGACTACCGGGGCACAGCGGGAATATCTACCCATTGTCTGTCAATTGGTTCGTCACATGGACTACTACCGTGTCTCCCCAGTCTGCTTCAATTGTTGGACCTGGTAAACTTCCGTTGAAGACAAGAACCTGTCGCTCGTAGCCATCAGGGGCCAAGGTGAGATTTTGCGCTGCGAGCCAGTACTACCGTCGTGAGCTGGGATCTCCGAAAAGCCTGAGTGCCCACCTACCTCTCTTGTAACACCAGTGTCAGGCGTGACAACCGAATAATCAGTGGTGATATTGTATTCGCCCCAGCAACGTCGGGAGGTAGGGGAGTTTTTGCAGGGACCATTGGCGATTGCCTGGGCGCAGTAGCAGCTGAAGACCAGTAAGCGCTGCCAAAACCAATTCGTTCGCGCGGGTCCCATTTTGGGGGATGGGTAGTACTTAAAAGATTGTCGCGCACATAACCACGGGGGAATTGGAGGTTTTAAACGAATCGATCCGAGTCGTGAAGGGCGCGAAGTAAGTGGCTGGTCACCCCGACAGCGAGGCAGTCCATGTGAGAAACGGACGGATCTAGGCTCCTCGGCATTGACAAGGTCGTTTTAGTCGAATTAAATTGACTTTGATTCCTCTTGACTGATACCCCGCAATAGAGGACCGCAGAGCAGGGGGGATCGGCCGTCGATCACCTTCAACTTCTACATCATATGTGGAATCTTCACCCTGATTGTGGTGACATTATGTTGGAGATATCAGTCAGGTTAAGCCCTATACCCAGCGTTGATCAAAGGTTTGGTGTAGCGGCTTTGAGACATCACCCCGAGAGTACGAAGCCAGAGATCTTGAAGCCTTCTGCTCGCATTAGTGTTTAGGGCTCGGGATCGAGATAGTGTTCCTATTCGCGTTGGCCAGAATTAACGGTGGAGAAGAGAATGCCAGATCATTCTTTTCCCTTTCAACATGTCAACTGGTAAGTAGTAGCTGGATAAGAGCAAGGAACCACTTGCCCAAGTCAAATAGAGAAAGAGTGATCTGGTGGAACCTTCTTCCTCTCAGCAAATATTCTCTACAAAGTAATCTCAGCTGAGCTGCAGCGATGGACTCACCCAACCATCCATTTTATCCCCATATTTGCCTATCAGACCATATATTTACAACATGGACAGTTTTAAATTCTGCAGTAGATGTAACAAATCGTTGCCCGAACTTCATTACCTGGGGCAAAATAACCGACCGTGCAAGACCTGCAAGAGATGTCGGACCTACTACGCAAGTCTCAGTTTGCCTGGCAAGGGTCTCTAGATTCCTTATCTGTTTTACTGACACGATACATCAGGTCAATTATCGAAAGAAGCGAAAGTCTCTCAAGCTCAACTCACCACCAAATCGCCAGACCGTGAAGGGCGGAATTCAGACCAGAAGCATGGGGAAATCCTCACTTGTACCCCCCCCTGGCACCACCGGCCTCAGACCGCTGCGTCCTAAACCCACGACGTCTAAGCGTTCAGTACCTGTCTCTGCGACCGGACTGGTTCTTCCTGAACAGGCGGGCTTTGCGATGCCGTCCTCCAGCGAGGCTGGAACCGGGAAACAGCCGGAACAGAATCAAACACCGCATTCTTCAGCGGTTCAAGAGCATATTCACAACCCACAACCCATCCGACCTAGGCCAGTTCTTGCACATGTGTTAGATCCTTCAACCCCATAGTGCCCGATGCGGGTCGTGCGTCAGGAGAAAAACTGATACTTTCCACGGTGCTGTGTCCGTGGAGACCCCCCGAGGTCTAACTATAAGTAACGGCAGAGCAGCTGCAGCCTAATCAAGGCATATGCAGCGGCGGTCAAGGGTGTCTTTCTTGAATGAACAACAGTCCGATTACTTGGAATGGAAATCACGGTTTACCATGGTATATGAAGGTTGGAATGGACAATGTAACTACAACACTCGATTCCCTCACGCAATCCAGAACCATATTCTCTCTGCAACAATTAGCACGTAACCACTCCCACGAGCTCAAAGACCTACCTAGAAAATTGCGAGGTTTGGGCTCCTCCCACACCGACTCCAATCGGTCTGCCTCCGCCTTCCCAGACCAGAGATCCATGTCCTCCAGTCGCACGAATTTGGTCCGCTTGACAATCTTGTATCCCAGGAACAGACAAGCAAAGATCGGGATATCGATGTACGGCGGCACGAAGCTCTTGGCGCTGAACCTGCCAGGGAAGAAAGCATCGTATCCGTTGAAAAAGGCGACTATCGTTGAGAACCCGATGGCGAAGTACGCCAGGTACGGCTGAAATGGTGATTTGAACGGGAGCGTTGATCGGTCGATGCCGTGGTGCTTGAGTCCACGGTAGAACCGCACATAGGTGATAGAGATGGAGGCCCACACGATCAGTGTGCTCACCGAGCTGAGGTTGCTAATCCAGAAGAAGACCTCGGCTGCACTGGCGGATACATTGAGATAGACGAGCAAGCTGAGAGCGCTGGTCACGGCCACGCAGGCGTAGGGGACGCCAAACTTCTCGTACGTGAGGAACCGGGGGGCCTTGCCGTCTAACGCTGTCGAGTAGAGGATGCGCGTTGAGGCGTAGAAGAACGAGTTGCCCGCTGATACAGCCGACGTCAGCACGACAGCGTTGATGATCGACGGCAGCACGCGGATGCCGCTGTTCGCGATGGCGATGACGAACGGGCTGGCTCCGACGCCGGCTGCTTTGTTCTCAATGGCGTTGAGGAGTCGGCTGTCTTGGGCAGAAACACACAGCCCAACTAGGAAAACGCTGCCGACGTAGAAAATGGCGATTCGCCAGAACACTCGTCGCACGGCCTTGGGGATGTTGCGCCGGGGATTCTCCGTCTCTCCGGCTGCGACGACCACCATCTCGCTGCCGCCGTAGCTGAACGTCGCCTGGATAAACACCTTCCAAAAGGCGAGGAACCGTCCTAGTGACCCCTCCGCAAGATACTCGAGCATCGGCCCTGGGTGCACCCAATATCGGAAGCCGATCCGGTCATGGTTGGGTCCGCCGCCCAGAGTGATAATGAACATGAGGATCATCAGTCCGACGATGGTCAGCAGTTTGATCGACCCGAGCACAAATTCCACCTCGCCGTAGACCCGCACCGGGAGGCTATTGGTCACGACCATGATCGCGAAGAGAATGGTGATCCACGCCGCTGTCGACACCCCGTTGGGCCAGTATTCGATGACCATTACCGCGGCGCTGATCTCGATCGGCACCCCGATGGCAAACTGATACCAGTAGTTCCATCCCAGCGTGAACCCCAGCGCTTCGTCCACAAATCTAGCGGCGAATACAGGCACCGCCCCCGTTAGTGGCAGCCAGGTCCCCATCTCGCCCATGCTGTTGATGACAGCGAACAGGTTCACGCCGGTGATGGCATAGGCGAGTACTGCGGACAGCGGACCAGCCAGAGAAAGCACCTGTCCCATCCCGACGAAGAGCCCCGTTCCTATCGCCCCCGAGAGTGCCAGGAATTGGACATGCCGGGATTTGAGTCGTCGTTGGAGTGTTCCTACATTCTTTTGCTCGGCCGCTTCCTTTTCAATATCGGCTGGCGTCTTTTGCGTCTTACTTTGGTCGATGTTGGTGACGTCGATGTCATCCTTGGAGTCCTGCATGTTGATTGTTGATAGATACTAGACAGTGCATGGCATGCTGTGCTGATAACCCTCTCGTGATAACCACACACTCTGCGGGGCAATACGAAGCATCCATACCCAGACCGCTCTTAGCGTGGGAGATAGCGTTCACAAATGCAACGGTAATGTTATCGTCATGTCAAACCCTTGCTTTGATTAGTGCGGGGGGTGTGCATTGACTTGTTCGACAACCAGTCAGAGTGAATGCCTTCGACCGGGTGTAGCCGACGGGAAACTTAGGTATAGGTAAGCTGCCTCAAGCCCAGATCCAGTGAGCCTTCTTCCCCTCCTTTCTGTTTCTCTTCCACTTGGTATCTACTCTACACCATTCACGATGGGAGAAGCGGATGTAGCTCTTGGCTCTGGGCCAACGCCCTTTGGGAAGGAGATGAAGAAGCATTTCTCCTTTGCTCCTGGATACCACAATCTCAACCATGGTACATCCCCACTGCTTGCTGTCGGGCTCCTCGTTCTCTACTTACCGATCCAGGGTCCTACGGCACTTGTCCCACCGCAATCCAACGAGAGGCCAATAGGTTGCGCGATGAATGTGAAGCCCGGCCTTGCCCCTTCATTAAATACCGCTTCCCTGAGTTGCTCGACGAGTCGCGTGCGGCAGTCGCACAATTCTTGGGAGTTCCGCGGTCGACTGTGGTCTTCGTGACCAATGCGACCACTGGTGTAAACACTGTGTTTCGCAACATGGTCTGGAACACCGACGGCAAAGATGAAATCATTGAGTTTGACGTGGTATATGGCGCATGCGGCAAGACAGCCGATTATATCTCCGAGACGAGCCGGGATCTCGTGCGCACTCGCCAAATCCAACTCACCTACCCGGTTGAAGACGACGATTTCGTCGCTGCTTTCCGAGAGGCTATTGATGCCTCCCGCCGGGATGGGCGTAGACCCCGCATTGCCATCTTCGATACGATCAGCTCTAATCCGGGGATTCGACTGCCATTTGAAGCCCTCACGGCCGTCTGTCGCTCTGAGGGCGTGCTGAGTCTCATCGACGCGGCTCACGGGATCGGACAGATTGACCTGGATCTGCCATCTCTTGATCCGGACTTCCTCGTCAGTAACTGCCACAAATGGTTGTTCACCCCCCGTGGGTGTGCCATGTTTTACGTACCGGAGCGCAACCAAGCCATGATGAGAAGCACTATTCCGACCAGTCACGGATTTCGTCCACGACTAGCACAAAACGAAGAAAAGAAAATTTCGATTGCACCGCAGTCACACAGCGAATTTGAGCTTAACTTCGAACATACCGGAACATACGATAACATTGCGTTCTTGACTGTGCCTGCGGCTATCAAATGGCGCCAGACTGTCTGTGGCGGCGAGGAGAAGATCCGCACCTACTGCACAAATCTTGCCCGTGAAGGCGGCAAGATTGTAGCAGCTGCGTTGGGGACATCCGTTCTGGATAATTCCACCCACACATACACCGACTGCTTCTTGGTCAACATCCTCCTCCCGGTCCCGCCGAAGGAAGGCGAGTGCATGAACTGGCGGGGACGTCCAGTTAACATTTCGGAGTGGATGCAGAGGACGCTGATTGAGGAGTGGCAGACCTATATGCCGGTATACTGGTTCAAGGGGGCATGGTGGTTTCGGATCAGTGCGCAGGTCTATCTGGAGCTGAGCGATTTTGAGTGGGCGGGGTCAGCCATGAAGGAGGTGTGTCGAAAGGTCAACGAACTGCTTGGATAGACTTATAAATTGGATGTATCATATGCAATGGAAATCGGATACATCGAATATATATGCATGCTTCCCCAGCCGGGATTGATACGGATCAGCATACTTGATCGGAGAAGTGCTGCCGGTGGAACAGACATATGCAATTATTGCGGGCTGCACTTGGAGTGACTGTAATCTTTATACTCACTTCACCAAGCTCGACTATAGCATTGCCTTCTCTGGTATGATGCAGAATATACCGAGGAGTTGCAGGAATGTTGTTCAACCTGCACACTTGTCTTAGGGTTTAGGGTTACATCCTACCATGAGTGAACCCGTCAGGGTGCCTTATTAAGGAGAATAAAAGGTCAACATACTATTATAAAGACCCATATTCAGCATATACATCTCCATCGATTACTTTAGAAGCAACCTTCTAACGGTTCTTGCCCAGAGGAGTGTTCCATGCGCTACTGTCTACCAGCCAGCACTACTTTTATGTAGCATCGAGATAACAGCGTCCTCACTCAACCATATGCATCTCATCTATATACAAAACTCACTGCTCTTTTAATCACTTCTAATTTACGTAAATCATATCCGACTAGAAAATATATATTTAAATCACCCTCAAATCGAAGATGTATAGATCGTGCTGACTAACTCGGGATAACAATGTTCCTGCAGATTGTTCGACGAGCGAAATTCCGCAAATCGACGGCTTCTTCCGTCGATCGAGAATCCACAGCGTCGAAAATCCAGCTTTTCGGCAGTATACGCGCTCCATCTCCATTACTCGGCGCCATGGGAAAACGTGGCGGTAAGAAGGTGAGTCTCTTACTTGGTCTCCAATCGAACTTGTCGCAATCTCAACCCCACTGACAGCTTCTTCTACCGACAGGGCGGCAGAGGCGGCGGCCGCGGCGGACAGCAGCGCACCAATTGGAGGGACCAACCGAAAATCAATGAGAAGTTCGAGAACTACTACAACAACCAGGACTTCATTCCCGATGAGGAGAAGGAGGCGTTTTGGGCTGCGTTGCGGAGGGATCTGCCGAACAGCTTCCGGTTTACGGGATCCAAAGGGTATGTTTTGTCCGTGCGATATTTGACTTTGATTGATTTTTGCCTTTTCCTCCCCATTCGCATATCTGCAGTTGAAGTCGGGGCCCTTGTTGTGTGAATTATACTGATTGTCATAGTCATGCGCTCGCCGTCCAGGAAAGACTCAAGGACTACTACGTCCCCCAAATCACCTCCATCGAGTATGAGGGTAGCTTCGTTGAGCCGCCCTGCCCCGTGCCCTGGTATCCCGATCAGCTCGCGTGGTCCATGACCACCCCCAAAAACGTCGTCCGTCGGTTCCGCCCCTTCGCCTCGTTCCAGAAGTTCCTTGTCGCCGAGACCGAGGTCGGAAACATCACGCGCCAGGAGGTCGTCAGTATGATTCCGCCGCTGTTGATCGGTGCCAAGCCCGGCATGACGGTGCTGGACATGTGCGCCGCCCCCGGTAGCAAGTCCGCGCAGTTGATGGAGCTGCTGCATGCCGGAGAGGAGGAGGCGATGGCGCAGGTGTCCACGCAGGTGAAGAATGGATCTGCGACTCCCGAGCCGATGGGCCCTGAGGGTCTCAACGACGACGGAAGGACAACGGGTCTTCTCATCGCCAACGACAGCGACTACAAGCGCGCGCACATGCTTATTCACCAGATGAAGCGCCTCAGCTCCCCCAACTTGATTGTGACCAACCACGACGCGACCATGTACCCGTCCATCAAGTTGCCTCCCACCGAGGGCAAGAACCGATACCTGAAGTTCGACCGCATTCTCGCCGATGTGCCCTGTACCGGAGATGGCACCACGAGGAAGAACCCCAACATCTGGGAGACGTGGACCGTGAGCAACGCGCTCGGCCTCCATGCCGTCCAGGTGCGGATTCTGGTTCGTGCCCTGCAGATGCTGAAGGTGGGTGGACGGGTCGTCTACTCGACGTGCAGTATGAACCCCATCGAGAACGAGGCCGTCATTGCCAGTGCCATCGAGCGCTGTGGCGGCTCGGCGAACGTCCGGATCGTCGACTGCAGCAACGAGCTGCCCGGCCTGCAGAGGCGACCCGGTTTGCGGTCGTGGAAGGTGATGGACCGCGAGGGTCGCATGTGGAGCAACTGGAAGGAAATCGAGGAGCAGAGGGAGCGCGAGGGTATCAACGGACTGGGCCGCATCGCCACCAGCATGTTCCCGCCCGAGGACGCCGACATGCCGCTCGACCGGTGCGTCCGCATCTATCCTCACCTGCAGGACACCGGTGGTTTCTTCATTACCGTGCTGGAGAAGCTGTCCGAGATCCGCGCCAAGCCGGAGGACTCCATCAAGGTCATCCCCAAGGGCACCGTCGCCGCCCTGGCCGAGGAACTCGAGTCGAAGCAGAAGAACAGCCCCGGCGAGCCGCTGGAGAAGATCGACGCGCTTGACGACATGGTGACGCCCGACAAGGCGGCCGAAGAGGAAGCGTCGAAGAACCAGTCAGTCGCGCAAGCTACGCACCAGCCCCCCTACTCGGCCACGAACCAGATTTCGCCCGCGAAGCGCGACGCCGATAGCAGGGAGGACGAGATCCCGGCTAAGCGCACCAAGCTCGAGGACGGCACAGAAGTGGTGCTGGGCGACCGTCCCATCCACAAGCCTCACCCGCTCCCGGAGTCGGACGCCGTCGAGACCTCCGACGCGACCTCGTCCACCCCTCTGCCCCAGGAACCCGCCACGCAGCCCGCGCCGCAAGCCGAGGCACCGAAGAAGAAGAAGCCCGGCCAGCCGACGGAAGAGCCCTACAAGTACCTGGACCCCAGCAACGAAGAGCTGGACCCCATCTACAAGTTCTACGAAGCGTCGGACCGCTTCCCGCGTGATCGCTTCATGGTCCGCAACGCCCAGGCCATCCCCACCAAGACCATCTACTACACCAGCGCCCTGGCGCGCGACATCCTGACCGCGAACGAAGGCCAGGGCATGAAGATCGTGCACTGCGGTGTCAAGATGTTCGTCAAGCAGGACGTCCAGCGCGCGGGCGTCTGCCGCTGGCGCATCCAGACCGATGGCCTGCGCCTGCTGGAGCCGTGGCTTGGCCCCGCGCGTGCCGTCACGCTGACCGAGAAGGAGACGCTGCGGAGACTGCTGATTGAGATGTTCCCCAAGGTCGACGACAATGGGTGGAAGGATCTCGGCGAGATTGGCGAGCGCGTCAGAGATATCCCCATGGGGTGCAGTGTTTTGTACATTGAACCCCAGGCGACTGGTAATGAGCAGGGAAGGTATGTTCAAAAATTTTTTTTTTTTTTTTTTTTTTTTTTTTTTTTTTTTCAACCTTTATCATTTACATGTTCGAAACACCAACTGACTGACTTTGAACAGCGAGCGAATTGTTCTCCCCCTCTGGCGCTCGCTCCACTCGGTCAACCTGATGCTCCCCAAGGAAGACCGCCGAGCGATGCTCCTCCGTATCTTCAACGACGACACGCCCGTGATCAACACGACGATCAAGCGGCAGGCGCAGGCGAAAGAACAGACGGCCTCGTCGTCGGCAACGCCCGCGCAGACCGAAGAGGAGGCGCTGAAGCAGGAGAACCTGGCCATCGGACAGGATGAGCAGGAGTACGTGGAGACGCGCGAGACGTACACCAAGGCTGGAGATGAGGAGGATCGGTTCAACACGACAGTATAGAGTTTAGCCTAGTGGGGGTTGGGTTGAAAAAGCACTGGATTTGATGGAGTTGTATAAGAGACTTAATCATAGCTGACTACATGATTGTACATGAGAGATTGGTGTTTATTGGTGGCATTATACACTGTCATTCCTGTATGATGTTAGACTTCATCTAGGTAGAGCTGTTCCTTGTCGGGTAGCCTGGAAGATCGGACCGTACTTTCTGACCCCAGAACATCCCAGGATATACGATCCCGCAAGCTACTCCTCACCGTCACACTGCATTGTCAGGGATATATACAACTCCCCCCAATATTTCCGCCAATAGCGGAGATCTCCCCAAGACCGCAGGTAAGACAATTGAAGCAGCTCGCCAACCAGCAGTCTCTCCGATCGCCGTGGGTAATGTTCGGCAATGTTTCATGCACAGTTGTTCCTCGATCTGCGGGTGTAACTTATCGGTTAAATCGGAGAATTTCCGCCAGATCCGAATCCGTTAGTGTTGTTATTTGTCACTTTGTTTGCTCACCATGCGCGTCTTCAATGGTGGAGTCGAGAGTGGTTCACCCCGCACGGAGACGAAGCTTGACTTTGATCTGGGTTGTGATGTTGAGGGTATACTGTGGTTTGGGACACTCAATCCGATGAACACTTTCGATAATTATGATATTCACAGATCAATTGCTTGTCGAGATGACTATATATTTCAGACAGTATGGCATGGATGAGAGCAAAGTAGAAAGAAGGTTGAGAGAGAAAAAGACTAAGATCGAAGGAATGCGGAGAAAGGACCGACGCTAGTCCTGATTAGTCTTCCCGGGTGGAGATCCAGATGGACCAGATCCTCTCCTTGTTCGCGTTCATCTATCCTCTCCACCTCGTCTCCTTAAGACGGTTCGCATTACTCCGCACTACTTGGAGTCTCTGGACGGACTGACTTGTTGCGTCAATGGCCTCAGCTATTGGCAAAATATGGCCTCACGTGCCAAGGAATGTCTAGTTGACCATCCCTGTCCCACTGCGGTTCGACTGGAATGGAGGAGCAATGTCAATTTAAAGGGCAGCTCCACCTCGAGCTTGATACATTCCCCAACGACAGTATCTATTGGGTCTTTACGCCATGAAGTTGCTGTCTTTCGCTACCGCTGCCTTGCTGGCCACCCAGGCGGTTGGTGTCGCTATCAAGGACCGCCTCAATGGCTTCACCCTCATAGAACACCACGATCCGGTGCAGCGGGACCTGCTCCAGAAATATGTTCGTGTTTACTGATCTAAGTACTGGAAGCACGCTTACACGATGTAGGTAACCTGGGATGACAAATCACTCTTCGTCAATGGCGAACGGATCATGCTCTTCAGTGCAGAGGT